AATCGGTTTTGTGTACCGTGATTTCTCGTCGTAGGAACCATTTTCAAAATAGACATTTATATACCATTCGATAGCCCTTTGAAAGGGCTACATTCTCCACTATCTGTATTTGAATTAGGAGCAACTTCGATTTTTCACCTAATTTTCGCCTGGATGCCCACTGTGCGAGGGACGGGGCAAACGGAATTTTTCAGGATTCGGGACTGTCCCGCAGGACACTATCCGTAACCTCATTGTGGGGCAACTATAACAGTAAGTCCAGTGAAAGACAACAGGTTCTGTTGCAAAGCTGACAGAATAGAAGTTCATAATAAACTGTATTAAGTTTTATCTTCTTACTTCTAGTGAGGATATTGACTATACAATCTGGATGATATCAAACATTTTTGTCATCAACAACGTGAAAGTCAAACAACTGAGTTCCAAAGACAATCAGTGTGAAGAGTGATCGTACAATCACGATCGATGTCGTTACTGTGCTGAAGTGAAATCAGTGTGATATCTGATTGGTAACTAACTTAACAGAACGAAGTAGTTACAGTCGATGAGTCATCTGTCTATTTCATAAAGTCTAAGACAAATAGATACGCAGAGCAGTGTAAGATATATATATATAACAAAGTAATCTTATCTAAAGTAGCAGCAAGAATTTAACGATCATAATACCGTTCAGGATTTGGACGTTAGGATTTGAAAATTAGCAACAGTCAGGCATGACGAATTAGAATTAGTATGAATCGGACATCAAGTTTCCTAAGATGCCTAGAATCACTAATAGCGCTGTATCTAATGAAAGTTTCATTCAAAATATTTTAAATACTTTTTCCATTATGCCTTCAGTTTCGTCATGTCGATGAAATACAGGTGTATGATATGATGATGATGAATTGTTTTGTTTTACATTTTTCAATATTTTTGAGTAGGTGCTAGTTTCTTTTGTTTTTCTGCTACGATTGCGAAAGAGCAATGACTACTGAAAAACGTAGCATCGCTAAATTAGATGCTATATGTGATATTGAAAGGCAATATCAAAAAAACTGGCAACAATCAAAACTATTTGAAGTAGATGCACCAGCAAATTCATCTGATAAGTAAGTTCTGATTATAATATACATCTTCAAGCTTATGAACTATTTTTTTATCTCTACCGTTCTAGTTCCAACAAATATTTTGTAACATTCCCGTATCCATATATGAATGGTCGTCTTCATCTTGATCATACGTTTTCATTATCGAAATGTGAGGTATTATTCATAACTAAGGCAAATTTCACTAATTGGCATGGTCAGCTAATGGTTATCCTTCGGATCAGAGGATTAAAAATATATATCAAATCATCTGCAAAGAAGAGCAAAAAAAGATAAAATTCCGTAATGGTCTCTGTTCTGACAATAATTTTTGATCCGCTTGATCAATCCAGCTCAAATTGTTTTTGGTCGTAGAACCCGCTAATATCCAATATGTTATAGAAATACGCTTGACATTGGTTAACGGTGATAAGATAGTTGAAAATGCAAATTTTTATGAAACGATGACTGAGGGTGAGTTGCACCTTTGTATTTAGCGTAACTAACTAGTATATTATTTCTGTTTAGCCCAATTACTCCGTTTATATATATTTGTCGATTGGATCAAAGACGTATTGAATATAAAGGAACAATCTAAAACAGCTCCTTCATCATTTGATAGTGGTGTTCTGCCACCAGCTATCAATTGGGTGAAAGATACATTGCACATATCCGACCTACAACAATTACAACAATGAGTGTATCGTATCGTACAGATACAAAATATAATTATTATGACAATGTATTTTTAAATGAAATAGATCGTTCAATAAAATTAACTAAAGATAGTTATGAAAAAATGATATATAAAGGTGTTGTGAAACATAATTTCTTTGAATTATAAATAGCACGTAATAAATATCGTGATTTATGTTCACAAACTGAATTAATGAATATTAATTTAATACGATATTTTATTGAAGTACAACTACTTTTATTAGCACCCATTTGTCCACATATATATGATTATCTTTGGCAATTATTATATCCAAATGAATTGACAATCATGAATGCAAAATGGCCAGTGGAGGTAAGTTAATTACAAATAAATTTATGTAAACAATAATGATGTATTGCTTTTTCTTCTAGGAAGTATTAATCAGTCATCGATTGACTCTTATCATTTTATTTATTGGATACATGTCATAGTTTTCGTTTACGTTTGAATGGTAAAGTCGCGTTTCGCCAATACCTATCCTCAATATTCATTGGATAGTCCTTATTGAATGTTTAAAAATAAGAGACTATCACTTCGTGTGCGGACTAATTTCTTCTCTCGCCTGTTCCGTTTATTAAACAACCTTTGATTGCGCTTAATTTTTTCACACTGCACATTATGTTGTTATTTTCTCTAAAATGATTTTGTTACGATTACTCTTTCATAAGTGTGTATATACGCATTTTTCTGCTCTAAATATTGGCGCCAAAGCTGAATATTGGCAAACGCCGACAAATTCGTTTTAATCATTATATTCAACTTCGAACAACTAATGAACCATCTAAAGTAGCAGTAACAACCACTATATTTACAGAGCAGGGCGTTTATTACCACCACATGCAACTATATTTATAACTAAAACTTATCCAAAATGGTAGTTGCTCATTCTCAATGAAATGAAACAATTGCATTTAAAGAATAAAAATCAAATGTTTGATAGTAAACAATTGACAACACATTTTAAATATCTAGAAGAAAGTAAAGAAAAAAAATCAAAAGAAATTAATGTTATTTATGATTTATAATAAAGATTTATTTGAGAAAAGTGGTGGTAATATTAATACATTTGATCAACATTCAAATTTTGATAAATACAATACATTACGAGATAATATTGAATAATATTTGACGTTCATTGAACATAGAAAATATTTTTATTCGTCTAATAGACACTGTTAAAGATTAATGTTGATGATATACTGCCGAGTAAACCATTACTTCAATTTCGACGTGAACCACCATTCATGGTACCGATTATCAATCGACTATGTCATTATTCGAATAGTCCATACCGATAATGAATGGTGATACATTGATAAAAATTGAATCAAGAGTAAAACGAAATGAAAACTATTCACTTTTATCGATTTGAAGATCCAGTTAAAGGTAATTTTTCTTTTAATATCAAATATTTTTCTCATTAGAAAGTACTATGATAAAGTCATATTTGACAAAAAAATAATTATACACAAAAAATAAAAATTTATCAACTCATTTTAGGTTCATGAACTATTCCAAATTTATTAAAACAAACGGACGGTTTAATTAAATTAAAAAATAAGAATTTGTCTAATATTGATTTAGTTAAACAATAATATTGAACGAACAGAATAGTAAAATTGATATTGAACTTGGCAATATTTTAGTTTATTTTGTTAAATGATGATTTGAATTAAATTTTTAGAATGATCATAAAAGTTATCTTGTTGTATGTTATATTTTTCATCTTTGCTAGATTTTATTTATTATTGTTAAAAGTCAAAAATAAACAGAAAACAAAATATAAAACATTCTAAATTTATAGCCTATACTCTTATGATATATTTGTTATAGATCCTTCTTAGATTCTACTTGTTTAGAGAAACTTAACTTAGTCTGGTGGAGTTTCAAAGTGCTGTCATTTAGCATATTATCAGTAAAATCATCATTTAACTTTGTCCTTGTGCTTTGCTCTAGACTTAAGTTGTATTAAACAATAGAAGAAAATGTGTTTTATCCTTTTATAACTGATAAAGTTTTTAATAAACTCTCCTTCGAAGAAGTGAGCTAGATTTCAATGAAATATATCTTTTAGATTGGTATCATTTTTTCTATTGTAAAAAAATGAACTCGTTCGAAGATGCTGGTCCTTTTATCTCCATGTGTACAAGTGCCGATCCGGAATATCCGGCTTCAAATATTCTTGATGGGTATAATGTTTATTTTTTTAATGAAAAAAAAATAGTAACATTTTTGACTTTTTATTTTTAGAAGTGATAAAACATTTTGGATGACAACGGGCATGTTTCCACAAGAATTTATTATCTCATTTCAACAGCCAATCGAAATTCGTCATATAAGATTTATTACAACAAATGGTATGTTAAATTTATTTTTAAGAAATATTAGATTCTTATAAAACTTTTCTTTATTAATAAGTTAATGAGAATGAAAAATAGTTTTTTATCTTGTCTATTTCTGAGTACAATTAGATGAAATGTGAATATGTACTAGAATACTTTTATTCTCTTATAGTAAAAAGTTTTGCCATGTTTACAACAAGCAATATGGAAGCAAAAAGTTTTGAAGCTTTATTTGAAAAAAGTAATATAATTTTTTTTATAATTTTCTGTACAAATGACTTTTATTATGTCTTGATTCATCTTAGCATTACCCAATAATGAGTATGATTTACAAATGACAGATCAACAATTACAACGTGTATTTGAAACACGTCATTTAAAATGTGTTATTTTATCTGGTTATGATCATTTTACAAGTGTACATACATTAAAAATTAATTCAAGAGGAAAATAATAAATTTACATAATATTAATAATCAAACATTTATAATTTCCGTCCATTTTCTTTTAGTGTAAAATATGTTTGTTTAAATTTTTCTCTAAAATACTATTAGAACAAAGAAATGAATTGGTTTTTTTATCATATACAATATTGATATTAAACTATTTAGTTATAACATCTCTTAGTCTACTAGGTCATTTATCGATTGTATCTAATCGAAATGTGTCCTAGACTTATGAGATCAAAATTTAAAAGAAGGACTAGAACTGGGCTTTATGATTCATTATCTTGCACTAAAGTAAAGTAGTGGCACTCTGACTACTTATTTTTTTACACATGAATGAATTGCTACTTATTTATTAAAAAGTGAAGCTTTATGTACTCATTTCCTGTGTAATTCAACTTGTGTAAACAACGTCTTTAGTAAAGCGATACAGTCAAATATTGGAAGGTCCCCGATTCGACTATGATAATGCAATAAATTGACACTCCTTAATACTTCAGACATACTGATATTTCACTAATCTCACTCAACATTTAATAAAACATAAAGAATAATGGTCATTGAAAAATGATTAAAAATAATTTCATTCCATTTTAAAATAATAAAAATAATCCTTTTAACAAAAAAGAAAACTCCCTTTTTGAATTTCTTTTCATGGTATCCTTCACATTTGTTGCTGAAGTGATTTTTCATGTTGTTTCTATGGTGTCATGTTTTTGTTTGAGAAAAAAAAGTAAAACACTTGACATTTTTTTGACAAACTACTATGGTATATATTAATAAATTTGATTTTTATTATCTGATGTTCCACTAAATATACTATCGTATTAAGCTAAAATTGAATCTCTTACAAATTAAGCTCATCATCATATAAAAGCTTTTAATTTTTTAATTTATCATCTATTTTAAAATCAATAATTGTTTTTTGTCTTTTTAAAAACAAAGTATACTGTTCTATTTAGGTTTCACGATTATAAAATAATAGAAGTTATTCTAGTATAACTTTTTAAGTGTTAATACTTGTTTTCTGACTTTATTGTACAATCATGACACTTCATATCTTGATTTTCATGTACAATATCCCTATACATACTCTTCAAAAACAAAGTTTATTTTATCATTAGAATTTTTTTTTTTTTTTTGTTAAATCTACTTTGTTTCTTCGACTGTCAGGCTCTCTTTTAATTTACTTTTCTACAGAAATGGATTTTCACCAGGATTTGGACTATTGGTATAAAGCTTTGATAGAAAAACGTGGTAAGTAAAATATGATGCCATTTTCTTTATGATATTCACGTACTTTATTTAGATGTACGAACTAAGAATTGGATATTTGCAAAACCACTTTATTCAATACTTAGTATTGTATTTTATGTTGGCTTTATTATTGTGGGAAACAGAGTGATGAAAAACAAAAAATCGTATGATTTACGAACATTTATGTTCGTATATAATATAGTCCAAGTGATTGTTTGTGCATATATCACAATAGAGGTATGTATATGATCATTGTAAGAAATTCATTTGACTTTATCTACTTTAGGGAATAACAGTTTGGATTGAAGAACACTATTCTTTTTCTTGTCAACCAGTCGATTATTCCAATAGTCAGAATGGTTTACGGGTAAGTTTTAATGTTTAGATTATAAGTTTAAAAAAAAAACTTTACTCGTATATCTTTCCTATTTTAAGTACTTTTCTTGATGGCAAGAATAGTTTTTTCTCTTCATCTACTAGTTTCTTAATATGAATTTCACAAATTGTTAAACTGATCTATTTATTCTCTAAAATAGTTTAATCAATTGATAGAGGAAAGAATAGTTCGATGTTGAATCCATTGTATATATTTAGATGTATACTTGGAAAATATGAACAAGTGAGTAAATTCTATTTGTTTGTATTTCTAATGCATGAAGAATTTTATATTGCTCGCTTTTATATTCGTTTCTTCATACACACATAAAAAACAAACATTTATTTTGTTATTTAGATAGCTCGTACTGTCTGGTTATTTTTCATAATGAAGCTTGTTGATTTTTTTGACACAGTATGGATACACAATACGTTATGCAATCGGCGTTATAATATGAAGCACTTGATTGTCTTTTGAATAACTTTCAATTAATGAAAGACAGGAAAACGTCTGGGGACTGGAACCCAATTTCGATTAACCGACACTTGAGCCACCCAACATTTGAGCGACCGACATGAAACCTGAGTGAAGTTATGTGATGAATAGTCATTATGTGATCCAGTTACAAATATACAGTTTCGCATGATGAAAATATGTTTTGTATGAAACTACTTTTCGAACTCACTCTCACACTGCCCACAACACACTGCCAAAATACCGAAATGTGCACTACGAAAAATTCTTGGAAGAGTCGGGGTCCTGTTCGCGGTAATATCCGGCGCTCAAATGTCGGTTGACACCCAATTTCTTGAAATCAAAAGAAACATGCCTAATCAATCGTGCCGAATCTGATCGATGACAATTTTTGTAAATGCAGCATGATTTTTCAAAGATTTCCGCAAAACCTTACTTGAAACACTTATTTAGTTTACGAAAAGACGTGTCTCGATCTTCTCTTTTGAATAGCAAAAATTGCATGCCTTTCATCAATTGAAAATTATTCAAAAGTGAACGAAGTAGTCTATATTATAGTGTCGATAGTAGTTTATTAGTATTATAACATTTAACCATTTGTTTTTCGGATGTTTGATAGATCGTATTTGTGTTGAGGAAAAAGAAGAGTCAAATAACATTTTTACATGTATACCATCATATAACAATGGTTATTATCTCTTGGATTGGCCTAATGTATATAGCCGGTGGTCAAGGTTTGTCAATCAATATTTTTATTTAAATATAGTTACATTCTTTTGTACTTTTGGTTTTAGGCGTATTTATTATTATCATTAATTCATTTGTTCATGTCGTCATGTATGGCTATTATGCTTTAGCAGCACTAGGTCCAAAAATGCAAAAGTATCTATGGTGGAAAAAATATTTGACACAATTTCAACTTGTAAGAATTATTTTGCTCTTTTGTCTAAGATTTTGTTCAATAAAACATATGTTTCGTTTTTCTTTACTTCAGTTTCAATTTGTAATGGTTATTATTCAAGCATTAATTAATTTATCTGTTGATTGTAATTTTCCAAAAGCATTTAGTTATTCGTTTTTACTCTATGCAATTAGTATTCTAGCATTATTTTTGAATTTCTATTTTCAATCTTACATAAAAGAACGACGAAAACGACGAGAATCAAAGTGATATATAGTCAAATTATTAATTCTTTATTATTTAACTATTAGTGTCAAACGCATTTCTTTTATAATATTCATTTTGTGAACACGATATATGGCATTGAACATCTCATTTTCTTCGTATAAATTAAATGTTATATTTTTTTATCTACTATTAGGAAATTAATTTTTTACGTCTTATTAATCAATATTCGCCATTTTGTTTCTTGAAAATAGAATTTGATTAACCAAAAAATAAATCCCGGCTAAATATGTACAGTAGTCTTTTACCCATAAAAAACGAGAGCGTAGTTGTATGTTTACAAATTTTAAGTAGATTTGAGCTTTTCAAAAATGATGTTGTCATAAAAGAGATGGATACGGATTAGAAAGTTCTTTATTTGTTCTACCATGAATTTTTTGATTTGATGTAAATGTATTGTGATAAGGTTTAGTGAAGAATGCCTGATGATGCACGAGCTTCTTTGTTTGAGATTATTTGTAATCGGAACCACCCTCTCTTTTCACTTGTTGCCGATGAGTTCGAGAAGTCGTAGTGAAGAGTTGATCATTCCAGGGATTTGGTATAACAACGGGATTGTTTTCAAGTGTTAAACGGGCTGACAAACGTTATATACCAATCCGAAATTGTAACTAGACTTGTTTGCTTTTTGTTTATGTCATCTCTGGAAAAGTGACAATTCAGAGAAAAACTTGAAAATTGCTCCGAGTGTTTATGTATCAAAAAAGAATGGTATTATTCTCAATGAACGCAACAGTATGCTATCAACAATGTCAGATATTTCTTGAGTATCTAGTATAGTTGCTTTTGTGTGTGAACGACGTATTGTAAGTAAAGATATTAGTCGATGGTTTTGTCAACGGCAACGCGACTAACATCTCTGATTGTAAGACGGCTATTCCATTCTTGACCAAAAACTTGATTCTGTAACGTTTTGTGTTATTTTTTCGTCTTTATATTATCTTTCGAACGAAAAGACGCCTGACGTAGAGATGTGTAGAACAGCTGATTTTTGTGCCCTGAGCTTTGCCCTATAAAAATTTTCCTGACCTGGACCTGTCCTGCCCTATACATTTAATAATCTCGTCCGGTCCTGCCCTATGGTTTCGGTGCCCATGCCCTGTGCTACTCTGTGAAATTTCTCGAATCGTGTTTAGTTCCCAGTGTGGCATGTAGTTTATTCAATTCTACCAGAAACAAATGTATAAAAATGTTGTGCTTTATTGATTGTTAGCGACAAAATTGTTTTGGAAAAAGACCTCTACTCTGTCCTGTCCTACGAACATTGAGGCCTTGCCCTGCTCTGACCTGGTCAGGACAGGGTAAGGTCAACCTGCACATCTTTAGCCTGACGTCAACCGACGTTTAAGCGACCAACATTTGAGCGTCGACATTCGAGCAACCGACACTTTCAATATGACTTTTTTCCGATCAGAAAATGAAATGATTGTTCACTTCGATAACACTTAATGACGATGATGATAACAGGTTCTTCGACGTCCGATAAAGAACTGAATTATTTGTTGACCTGTAGAGGATGATGATGAGCAACTATAAGTGATGCGCTTCGCTCAATTGTCGGGGGCGCTCACCCTCACTCTCTACAGGTCAAACATTTAGAGGGAATATGTTTGTCCTATCGTTTATGCGAACGATTTCAAAGAAATTGCCGTTAAGACATATTTCGAAGGATAAAACTAAGCAATATCGAAGTTATATAGTTTGATGAAATATATTGTACATAAACATTTCAATGTTTTAAAACAAACTCTTTAGTTTGCAGATATTTGTATCAACTAAGTCCGTCTGTTAGATCGTGAAGATGTTTAGTTTTCAATCAACCTCATTTTTTTCATTTAATTTTTCAGATTAAAATATGACGTCTACAGTTACAGAAGAGTCTACATCAGAAAACATCTCGTCAACAGTTGATAAACCAGATCCAGCAGCCGATGAAGCAGCAGACAGTACCAAATCCACCGATAGTGTTCCAAAAGAAGTGAATAATTCCATACAGCAAACACAACTGGAACCGGATTTATCGTTGCCATTTTTTAGCACGAAAAGAACCTATGACCATCCGTACGGACCATGGCGACCTGTACCAGAAAAAACACCTAATAAGTGAGTAGATTTATACAGTTTTCTATATTCTTTTCACAACATTTATACTTTTGTACTTTAGACGAACTGTTGGCGACACACTCGATCTACCACATGAAAATTGGCATCTCCCAAGTAATCAGCCCGAACCAGTGATAGAAGTCAAACCTGAACAAAAAGTGATATTTAAAGAACGAGAAATAAAGACATCTGATTCAGCAGCAAAAACATCTACCAATATAGAATTTAAAAAACGAAAAGTAGCTCAAAATCAAAATTTACGTGGTCGACGAACAAAAGATGATTGATAAGAAGAAAAATCATCTTTAGGTTTTTATTGTAAATAATGTTTACATAAAATAAAAATGTTAATCCAATATGATAGTTCAAAATTTTTCGAGATGAGACTGGATAATTTTATTGTTGTCATTTTGAGAACGTATCACTTGTACGTTAGATCTCATTAATTTTAAGCTATAAATCTTTTACCTAACGAAATTTTTCATCAAAAATATTCTCTCATTTAATCCTGTATGAATTCTTAACATTTAATGGTTTGAATAGATATTTATTATTCATAGCACCATTTTAACATTCAATTAGACGATATTATGAATAATGAAATATTATTTTGATGAAATGATTACCATCGTTCTACAAAATATTTTCTCATTAAAATTATCTAAAAATAACCAAATTAATATACAACTCAATGAAATCACTATCTACTTATTTTTCAGTATTATTTTATTTTCCACAACGTTATTGTTCTATAGTGACACATGCTAAGATAAATCAACTATTAAAACTCACATTAAAATTCTGCCATGTAAAAAATATAAGAATTCGAAATATTGAGAATTCGTACAGTGATTCTTATATGAACGATAAACAACAACTTTTAAATTCGCTATTTAATCTGCAGAAATTAATATCGATATTCCTTGATTATTATTATTTTGAAAAGTTTGAATATGTTGAACTTTTGTATTTGTTTCAAGTTTCTCAAACAAGTATATCTAACGTTTGTTTATATCAACGATATAGTTGACGAAAAATTTAATAAATGCGTGCTGTATGGTTACAAATGACAGAACAATTTAAAGATTTAATAAAAATTGAATTTGATATTAATCATTTATCGAATTTTAATACTAATTGTATTTATATTACTCGCTCATTATTTGATATTGGATATTTTCGTGAGAGAAACTTATATTATGTATGATTATTAAATGAATCTCTTTCAGGAAAGTTTTGTGCATGTTTATACATTATCTTATCAGAAATTGTCATTTGGATCGATTGTAATTTGTTCGATTTCAACAGTTTGCATAGATGAAATTAGTTCGCGTTTTTTTTAATCTCAATCAAACTGAACCGAACTTTTCTCAAATTGAATCGTCTCAATAACTTTTTTCAAAATTAACTCAAGATGCTTAATCTTCAACATTTAGGCATTCCTCTCCGTCATTTCTCGTCTTCATTCCATTTTCTTCTTCTTGTTTCAATCACGTCTGCGTCAGTGTCTCTATCACGAAAAATAACTGTTCGATAAGAAAAAAGAATAAAAAGCAAAGAAAAACGTCGGATAAGCGTTTGTTTATTCTGCTTCGAGTGTGTCATAGGTGAAAATTGGGCTACGTCCTAAATACGATCAAAATTTAAGCCAATTACTATAAAAGTGGTCGCAAATTGGAACGAATAAAGTTACATTGGTCTACGTTTTCAAAAAGCGACCACTTTTTAATTGATAAGTAATCAACAATCGCAATTTGAAATATCCTAACGATCTGTTCTGATTTTCACATTTTAACCGATATAAGCAATTATTATATAAAATTGCTTCTTTACCTTTTGGAGTTTTTGACCAAGTAAAGTTTGTATCTATCGTTTTAAATAAAGTGTGACTTTCGTCCCATATTTATATTATCAATAAGACAGAGCTTATGATCAAAAATTTTGCAACAATTTATAGTTTTTTTAGTCTTATATTTCTTAAAATGTCTCTTGTCTCTCTAGGTGATTCGAGCTCCATTAGACATAGGAGGACGGCTGTTTCTGTGTATTATTCGTCTTTATGATTGTAGGGACACACACGCAAGACATCAACGTCAGAGAAGTACATACAAATGATAAACGATCGATTCATGAAACGGTAGGTGTGTATAGAATGAGAGTTAAACATATTTTACTTCATCTCTTATGTATTTGTAGACGAATATATAAACAAAATGTTCATTGTGTTTTAATTCTTAATATTCCTGGAGAGGAAATGCTGTCAGAATCATGATGTTGCTTCTATGATTGCGTATGCTCTTTTCTCGTAGTTTTTGCTTTCAATCGGGTGTTTATGAGCATATATCTCAATAATTTCTATAGAGTCATTTTTTTTTCGATTCAAAATGTAATTTTTTAAAAACAACAGCAGCAACAAAAATAAACAGTGATAGTTACAATAAAAAGAAACAACAACTCGACAATGTTATAGGGATTCACTGTTTCTAGCCTATCTGATTTTTTTCTTACACTTCTGACGCTAATTGTGGTGTATCTGTTGGATCATTTATTATACAATGCACAATATTTGGCAATAACATGGATTTATTTGTTAATAATTCTTTCGTTTCTTTGAGAAATGAACTATTTCTATTCAAGAATTGGTCGCTACTGGTTTCAGATGATCGAGGTGATGATACATGGTAAATGTTGTTATTAGTAGTAGGATGATTCCATTGCTTATTGAACATATCAATATTATATAAAATGTTTTTTCGCGATAATATTTCTTCCCAGGGATATTGAGAATCAAGATATTGCGAACACTGTCGTTGCTCATGTACAATATTAGACATTGTTTCAAGTATACAATCACGATCAATATCTCGCGTTTGATTATAGTGTACATATTCGTCTACAAATACATGAGAAATGAAGTCAAATATGTTTAACTCTCATTCTATACATACCTGCTGTTTCATGAATCGACCGTTTATCATGTGGATGTTCTTCTCTGACACTGATGTCTTGTGTGTGTCCCTAGAATCACAAAGATGATTACTATAAGTTAAGTCGACATCCTTGTATCAAATATACCATCATTTTTACTGAATTATCATTTTTATTCACATGGACATCACTTAAACCATACTTTTTTCCGTATAATAAATAATTTTTTGTTGCTAAACACACTTTTAAACGGCAAATAATGAGAGCTAATACTAATGCTCCAGTAATAAATAAAAATGATAAAGCAAACAATGCCAATTCAATGCGTCTCACAGGTAGCCACGATCGACGTTTGTATCCGGTAGACATTTCATATTGACCTATACTGAAATTTGATTCGATATTACTTACGATAACGAGAACGCTGACGTTTGAACATAATAATGCATTGTTCTGATCACATAGTTTTAATTTAATACGGTATTTTGACATATTTGATGATTGTCTATCGGTGTGGATAAAAAAATCGGATTTATTGTTGGTAATGGAAGTGATTGTCGAAAAGTTGGACGATTCGTTTTGAATATCATTTTCGTCGGAAAGATGTCTGAGTAAATGTGGCAAATTGTTATCAATATTATTTGTGATGTTTAATTTCATCATACAGGTCATATTTAGTTTATCACCTATGTCAATAAAGACATTTAATATGAACTGATTTTGTCTTATTTTATGAGTAATAGGCGATAGTAATGCGTCATCTTTCAAATTAATTAAATCAATAATAAATAAATTTATTTGAGAAATAGAATAGTTTTTATTCATATTATCATCGATAACTTCTAACGTGCCAATAATCGTTCCAACAGGTGCATTCTCTCGTATTGTAAATGTTCTATTTTTACTACAAAATGGAGTTGATGGTAAAATGTAGTCGATATTTAATAGTGTTGATGAATTACTACGCGGACCTAATGCATAAATAGACAATTGCTGACTAGTGGACGGTGCACTTAGGAAACTCAGAGATCCACTTAATTGATTGATGGTTATATACGGATTTTGTTCAATGGCATAAGTAATTGGTATTGCTAATGGATAGGCATTTGTTGCTTGTACTCGTGGAAGATGTGATTGAACTGTTATACTGTAACTGTCTGATTTAAATTTTGGACTCCAATCGTTATCATTTGTTACAATCAGTTTTATATCGATGTTTGTCAACAATTGTTGTGATAGTGTATGTTTAATACTACTCGTTAAAAAATATATTTTTTTCGTTAGTAATTGTCGTGTTTTCAAAATATATTGATTTGTTTGGGGGGTGGATATGAACCGAAATGTTTTCATATGAGAATCAAGAGATAATGTAAACGTATCATTTGGATAAAATCGATTACGAATAATTAATTCTAACAATGGCTGACCGATAAATACTTGTTCGTGAACAAGAAATGTTATGGATGATAAATTGTTCATTTGAATCATTTCTCTATCAGATGATAATATTTTCATATCTATATCGGGCTTCAATTTTGATTGATCGCGAAAATTGATCTAAGAAAAAATCTTATTAGAATACTCAAGCAGACAGATGTCATTGATATTCAAACTACATGATGTTACTAGGATCGAGATCTTTTAAATCTGGAAGAGAAAAACATACTTTAACTCGAGTTTGTGACTCAAATTTTGACGATAATGACTGTTCATTATTCGACACTTCAATTGTTAACTGAATATCATTATATTTTGAAATGATGATGTTGGATGATGCTATTAATTCACCAGTGAATAAACCAATTCGTATACCATAAGATGATCCAACAATTGAATATCGAATAATTCTATTAATTTCTTCATCGTTGTTATGTGCTAGAACCCTTCCAAATATTGTACCTTGTAGAGGAACTGTTTGATTTTCTATCATTGATATATATAAAAATTCGTAATATTTCTGTGTAAATATAGGTGCCCTATCGCTCATATGGTCTATTTTAATGAATAATTTCATTGAATTTTGTAATTGTTCTTCTTGACCATTGTCTACTGCATACAACGTTAAAATATATTCACTCTGTGGTTCTTTATCAGTACTATTTCCAATAAATTTTAATGCTAATTGATCATAAGTAATCGATGTTTGTGTTAATATTGTTAATTCGAACATTTTACAATCAATAGATGATGGTATTTTATATTGGTAATGATTCCATTGACGATTCTCGACCGTGTTACTGCAATCAAGTATATAACGTATTTGTCCATTAACGCCCTCATCATAATCAATGGCACCTTGAAATGGAATTTTATAACCAATCGGCACATTCTCTCGAAATACTAAATGCAATTCATTTCTGGCAAATTTTGGTTTACAATCATTGACATCGACGATATGAAGAGGAATAACCCTAAAAAAAGAACAGTACAAGGTATTGATGATATGTCAGTGTATCTATTATGTGTTAGTATAACTTACCAATATTTCAATCCATCTTGCACTAACAGATGTAATTCCACAAGACATTGTTGTCTATCACAATAATGATCATTAACAAACTGTTCTCGATCAATGAGTTTCGTTATTCTTATACTATTATCCGTTTTATTTAATGTAAAATAATTTAATTCAAAACCAGACATATTTAATAACATGATTTTATTTTGATCACTAGTTAAATCAACAACATGTGTACCAATTGGTGAGTTTTCTTTTATATTAATAAGTGAATAACTTGTGATAGATGTTGAATAAACAGAATAGATAAGCATTAAAATGAAATAAAATAGAAAAATGATCATTTTATAATCTGAAAATTATTCGTTTAATTGTATCACAGTTGTCGATTCATCGACTATTCCACAAGATGATGAGACTACTAACCTACAAAATGAGAGTGCTGTGTTGTGATCGTCTATGCTCTTTCTTTTTGATAAACAATTAATTTGCAAAAATATGTAACACTCATTAGTGATGGATGTATTTACTAATCGGAACAACAATTAAAACATAAAAGTATTGTTATTTAAGTGTTACTGTTTTATTATTTTCTTTCGGTTCGCATGCATTTCATACCACTTTGAAAGATATAGAATTTCATCCAACATCAATTACTTTGCTTTAAAGTTAAATTAATATCTCTCTCTCTCACTTATTATATAAAATTTCGCTTCTTCCTCTCTCTCTCTCTTTCACTTTATTTTTCTAATTAATTGAAGAAATACAAGCACGTACACGAGAAAACGTTGCAGAAAGACATTGTGGTTTCTCTCTCTTTAATTAAGCGGTATCCTTTTCTCTTAAAAATTTTAGTCAATATTTTCATCTTTCTTTCTTGCTTTCTGGTTTACGTCAAGAGGTCGAGATTACTGTCATCGTCTTCATTACGCACTTTGACTTCTTCTCAGGTATTACGTACGGATCGTGTGTATTAAAGCGACATTTTAAGTGACAAAAGAACATACACACCGTCAATATTTGTACTGAAATATATCAACACTTTGCAATCATTAGACAGTACAGAGATTAATTAATAATCAAAAAGAGACTGACCTTATGTTGGTTGCGTGTACTGTCTGTAAATTGACGTGATTTAGTTCAATCTTGTCACGCTATCATCACAAATCTTTATGAAATCTTTCGTCGACGTTTGTCGTTTACCTGGATGTTACGTGAAAATAATTTAATAGATGCCTCAACTCTTAACTTGATTCCATCGTTGAAAATTAAACTGTTGATAACAGATGAATCAACATCAAATAAGTTAACCGAAAAATCGACAAGAGTTTAACTAATCGTTTTCTCGAACAATAAATAGAACACAAAAATAACCAACTATTATTAACTGGAAAAAACTTGCCTCTGCTCGAGAAAACTATTGAAAAATTTTTATTAAAAAAATTTGGAATAAAATAAACGTTTAAACGTATTTTCTGAAAATTCAATGGGCAAAAAAATCAGAACAAATTTGGAAATATTCTCAGGTAGATAATTCATCGTCATGTTACACTTCATAGTGTATACAGACTATATATTGCTGTACAAGTGAATAGTATTCGAATGGATAGTATCAATGACACATTGCTATTCGAGTGAATAGTAATCAATGACTGATACATATATTTTGTTCTCTATACAGGCTATACATCATAACGAAGCTTAGCATAAAACTGATGTGATTGTAATGTCTTGCAACGAGATCATAGTCTAGTCGATATTTAAAAAACTATGTAGGGAAGGTTTTCAGGAACTTTCAACAGAAGATTAATAGGTCATTTACGGTTTTGTTTTGCATATTATCATTGTATTTAAGAGTCATATCTTCAACGTACAAAGGCACAATAAAAACTTTCATATAGTTGAAACGTCTCTCCATTGTGACTCAAAATAAGTGTTAGCGTGTTTGCAAACCTGTTTTATTTGTATTATTAGAATAGTGCACATCTGATCTAACACGGTTGTGTATGTGGGTGGAGGAGGGAACTTACCAAAATTTTTTTATTTTTATTCTACTTTTAATGAATATTCATTCTATCTGTTGGATGTCCCATTACAATCAAACATTTAATTTAACAGTTACAAAAATGACAATCAAATGGCATCTTCTACTGCACACAAAAAAGCTACACATATTTAACTCTCACTATAATAATCGATTACAAATACACACTAATTGGATTTCAACAAAAATGAAGAAAAAAGTAAAAATAGACAAATGTATTCTTAAATGTTCATAGGTGTGAACAAGAAGACACACACACACATACACATGCTTAAAGAACAAGAGAATAAGATTGATTGAGAAAATTTAAATGTTTAGTGAAGAGGAAGAAGTGAACATTGCCGATACAATAGCTGCCAACATAAAAAATGAACTTTACGAAATGGAATGCCTGTCTTACCGGATGTCAATTTTTCTATAGAACGGCTATATAGAGATAATTTACACGGCTATATTGCAATGGCAACATTAGTTAGATACATTTCCTTGGTCTACAAAAATAAAGACGATCAAAGTAAAAATAGCGCAACAATTTTCTTTTTGTTGTTTTATTAATTATATTTTCTTCAAAATCTATTTATTCACTATTGTTCTCATTAAACAAATGATATTTCCAGATGAATCCAATGAACCAAAGAACAATGAGAGACAGTACCGCTCTTCAGCTTCAGACTGCACCTAGTGTTAAAATAATGATGAAAACAGAAGATGCGTTGTATATCATATTTTATAAGATACCTCTACTTAATCATAAATAATCAATTAATAAGATAATAAGTATCTCGTTCCTTTCCTCGTTTTATTGCAATTTTAGAAAAGAACTTGCCACTTGTGTACACGCTAAGTTTTTGACTATTAATATGTTTTCTTTGGATTCAAACATTTAATATTTTGGTATCGACAATTATATAAACTCAGAAAGGTAATATTTACTAGAATTCATTCTGCGTACGGATTATGATTTGGTTTATAAATTTCAATAATTGCTTATATTATCCGTAAATTTATTGTTAGCCAAACGTCTTTTGCTAACCAAATTTATTTATTGTTAGCAATTATTGAAATTTATAAACCAAGGTAATATTTAAAAATGATATCCTACTGATCTTTGCTTTTGCAACTGAAAGTCAAGTTTTCGTAGTAGACAGAACAGTTTGAACTTATTTTTGATATTGTGTGATGCTGGAGTCGATAGCAGTTCTTTTTTTCAAATAATGACACTTTCATATTGAGAAATTCAGCTAAAAACATCACCTTTTGATATTTTCTTTTCCCATTAAAAAAAATATTTCGATTTTGTTTTCACAATAGATTTTTATCGTTTTTGTAATTAACCACGTCATTATCCACAGAAGGTGCAGGTGGAAGATTATGAGTCATTATGTTGCTAATTAGAAATATCCGGTTCATAGAATCACAGTTAAGCGTATATAATAAAATCATTCATGTGTATGTGCAGAAAGAAGATATGGAAAGAATTTTTTTTAGAAGATTTGTTTATGTACACTATATCTATACTTCAGTAGAAGAAGAATAGAACACAGATGTTTACAGTTTCATATAATTACAATCGTGTAAAGAAAACATTGGGAAAAAAGGACTATGTGGTTATAGATGGCTTTAGTTCATCTTTCAAAACACAACATAACTTTCTGGAATTTCTCTAAATTGATCAAAATCTTGCCGGAGATTATATGAATGAACATTATATATGAGATGTACGATGACTATGGGTTACATATACAACAAACCGTGATGTTGGAAACAATTTGCAAATGGATCGTATAATATAAGCGTCTTTATCGTTAGAAAAACTTGATAAGCTGTGTAGGAGGTTTTGAAACTTTAATAATTTTGTTTAAACCATTAGCGTCTTTCGTTTTTTTATCATAAAATCGTATACAGTTTATTAATCATATTTATTATTACTTTATGAAAATGATGCATTATTAGAAAATATTCTTCGTCTTATTTCTGTTTGTCCAACGAGGATATTGATGAAAATAGTAGGAGACCGGCAACACGACACAATACTCTACAACTATCACATGTCAAAGTAAGACGGTTAAGAGAAATTTACTTGCTTTTTTGCTAATATGAGAATAGTGCAGTGAAAAGGAGTGAGAATCAAAGTAACTTCGGTACAATAACTTAAAATTACAACGACAGCGTTAAAGAGCAAAGATGAAAATGATGACACTAATATTTATCGTTCGAGACGTTCATCTGATTCTGTTGAAGTACTAACTATTCTACAACAGTAGCCTACATCTCGATCCTGAAGTGGGTTCAGATTCGAGTATTGTTGTTGTTGAGCCGAGTCACGCTGTTTTACGTCACAGCACAGAATACAGATAAAACTTTTGCTTTTATCTATATTCTGATTGAAAGTGTGTTATTTTTCTGTTTGAAAGCATTCCCTACTGAAATTTTCAATTCAATTGCTTTTAAAACTGTATGCACAAAGTTCGTTGATCGTTGCTTTCTCTGCATACAAGAGATTCTTTTCTGTATTGGAATCAACAGCATTACATCCGTTACTGCTTTTTTTCGAATCAGGTGTGATTTAGGTCACATTTTCTTAGCCCGTATAGATTTCCATTTGGCAATAGAAATCTTTAAAAAATTCTTCTGGATATTATTCTCTTATACCTTCATCATATCGAAACTGACTAAACAAAAATTTTATTGTTCTGAGTTTATTATAAAACTCATAGTTATGTGGACACTTTAAGTAAAGTACGGTATACTGATGCATCGACAATTATGCGTTTATCAAATTCGAACTCGATCTTCAATTAAACTGGTAGATCAAAATTAAAATTTTAAATAATTATTCTGAATTAATAATTTCTTTCGAGTATTTATGCGTTAAATGTTCACCAGGCTGTCAATGATTCATATAAATATGAGAGAAAATATATGTATCGAATGCTAATATTGTATCGACTTTTATATATGTAATAAAAGCTAATTAAATGATTTTCCTTTTTATTATTTTTGAGGTTATTTTAGATAGCTAGGGTGAGAAAAGCATTCCAAAATTAAACTATTAACAATTTGCATTTTGAACAGAGAAAATAAATGAAAAAGTGTATGATTGATAGTATTGGTTGGTCTCGTTTCATAGCGTAGTACGCATAATACAGATTCTCTGTGTGTGTGCACACATGAATATTAGATGCACACGTACGCTTGTATTTATCGCATCGATATACTCTCTCTTTGACTAATAGATTGTTGAGGTTGCTGTTGAATTTGATGTACAAGCTGTTGTACAACTCCTCCATTTTTCTCATACTGTTGATTTGCTAAAGCCTGTTGATGTAATTGTTGTTGTTGTTGTTGTTGTTGTAATTGTTGCTGCTGTTTTAAATCGTAACGATGACGAGAAAATCCTCCTTAGAAATAGAAATGTTATTTGTTCTTTAAAACAAAATGTAAACATTTTTTAATCTATCTACCAGCGATATGTCCTTGCGATGCACTTGGTTGTAATGAAAATTGTTCTGGTACCGTGAGACTATGAGGTGTCGTTGTTTGATACACGGCATCTAATCCTGCTGCATAGTTAGCATCGATCTAAATAAAGATTAAATTGGAAAATATAGTTTTTAAATTTTTTATGGGTTTTTAGCTAATTTTTGAAATTTAGTTTGTTCTTGATATTTTCTTTTTCTTTTTTAAAGGATTATTTGTTTTTTTTTAGTGGTAGATATGATGAAGAAAATAAAATTTGATTTCTAATCAAATCTATACATGAATGTATCCTTTATCTAACCTCTTTAGTGTACTGTATTTGATCGTCAACATACGATTGATAATCATCATATGTACGAACTGGTGTACCGATGCCAGGTTTTATGCTTTGATATATGGTTTTTACCTTTAAAAAAATAAAAGCGGTAATTACACACACGTACTAAAAACAAATCAACATTTGATATGTATATTTACAAGATAAATGGCAATTATTGAGCCTAATACAAAACCAACAAAAATATCTTCCCAATGATTATGATTGCTTGCTAATCGAACGGCACCACACACAATCGATAACGTAATTAAAGACAAAATTAAAAATGGTTTTACAATGCGAACACGTTTCATATTTACTCCTCGATGCAAATAAATCTGCAAATATATATAACTATAATTATTGTCAAATATTCAAATGTAATCTGTTTACTTACAGCAAGAAAAATAGCACTATACATTGATAATGATGCATGAAGTGAGGGAAATGACAATCTAAATAGTAAAACAATTTAATTAAAATTAATTTAAACAATTTATCTACTTGCCTTGCTTCACGCATTAAATTTGTCATATTTTTTGATAAACAAACAAAATCTGCATCTGTCAAGCCCATTCCATTACATGATTTTTGATCAGGATTACACAATGTCAAGAAATAGGGTCTTAATCGTCCCGACATAATTTTTAATATATCGGTTATGATCGTTGTTGAAAGTGCACCAAATATAAATACCGCTAAAAATAACGAATAAAAAATAAACTATATGGATGTTGTATACTGACGTACAGATATATTTTAATATTCTTGCAAATGCTAATAGTAGACAATTTTTTAATTTAATTGAATAACGTGTTTTATATGAATTATAGTATAAAAATGATCGAATAAGTTCAATGATTGTTATCTGAAACAAGAAAATATAAAATAAAAACAATAATAATGATAAAATAATAGTATGTTTAATATTCTTCTTTACCACTAATATTGGTATTAATAAACATAGTGAATATAAAGCAATATTGGACAATAAAATATAATTTCTTTCGATACTTCCATCTTCGTATGATTGATAATATCGTGCATCATCACATAAAAAGCGTTGCTGACGAACAGGAAATATATCAGATGCTCTAGAAACATATACGAGAATCGAATAATCTTGTATTGAATTATCTCGATTAGAAAATGAAATAGACTTCGTCAGAAGCGCTTATAACTAAATTTTTTATTTTATTTCTGATAAACATATAAAAACACAGAAATTTACCGTAGAAGAAAGGCAATGACAATAATAAATATGAGTACAATGCTGTCTAAAACTGCTGTAGCTAAAGCATATCGACCACCACCACGGCCACCACCTTGTTTGATATATTCCGTTGCTTCTGTGAGAGGACCACTTCTAAAGACTATGTTGATCTATTTAATTTAGAATTTTTTTAAAGGAAACTTACGTTCGCGATCGTGTATCCATATTAATGAGAAATATTTTAAGATGTCAAGCTCTGCTCTAACATTCTAAAACAATTAATAAATCAATTAATGTTTAAATTTGATGATCACATTAAGGAAAATAATTTAATATTTAGATTTTGTCTAGTTTGAATGAATAGTTACTAGTTAACATTAACAAATGTAATAAAATTGATTGACTGTTTTCAGTATACGTTTAAAACTGACTTAGTTTTCAAGATGGATTACAGATGATTATTAGATTTATAATTTCATTAATTTATTTCTTTTTGACTTTTAAAAGAGAGAGAAGCACTTATTTTGCATAAGAAATGTTCTTCACAACAGTGACTTGATTCATTCATTGTATTATTGATTCATTCTCAACACACTCTTCAAAAAGCTAATCTTGAAATAATTAATCTTATAACAACGGTACTTGCCTGGACATATTGAAAATGTTGTTCTGAATGAACTTCATCTTTCTTCTTATTCTAAAGTAACTAAAACTAAAAGAGATTATCTAATAAAATAATAAAAACAAATACTAAAAAATATATTTCCTCTTCCTGTTAATATAAATTTAGTATAAATAACCGATCGAAATTTTTACAAGGATATTTTATCGGTATTATTTTTCTTTTTTTTTTTTTGAAATATATTTTAAAACATAACTCAACTACCTCATTTATTCATTTGAATAAAATTCTTTTTGTTCGAATGTATGTGTGTGTCCATTTAACATTGTCGACTATTTAACTTTCGGGTAGTTAAGTCTCAACAAATAAATGTGGGATGTTCTTCTCTCTCATCGTTCATTCGTTTGCGTAAGACATCAACAAACAAATATTCAAATTGATCTCTTAATATAAATAAGAAACAAAAAATTATCTATGATTATGCAACGTTGGTAATACGATTGTACTCATTATTAATCAAGGAACAGTAACATTAATAACATTTCTTTTTGACTTCTTTTACTACACCATGAAGATATATGGGAAACTATTTTATCAACTACAGATAACTCGAAAAGAGTGATATGATTAAGGATAATCCTTTTTTCCTTGAAACAAAAAATAATTGACTTTTGAGTTGAATATGGTGTATGATAGAGTCAAGTGTCCTTTACAGTTTCAGACCACTCTTAGTGATCCACAATCTTTATTTAGAGAAGCATTAATCTTTGATGTCTGATACTTTATACATTGAAAAAAATCATCCATCATTAGAAAATCTCTGTAGATGTTATCAAGGAAGAATACTCCCGGTGTAGGGTGCTGGCGTGGCAGTTTCAATAGCCCGATATCTTCCAGCTGACAAGTTTCTGAAATGGTCACGCATCTTACTGAGCTTCGAACACAGTACATTTGAAGTATGTGACGAACAACATAATCATCAAACCGTGCTACCAAATTTAAGAACCATGCTCTTGTATTTTGGATAAAAATCAGTTTGATTAGAAATCTTGGAATCTAGAACAATGCATAAAAATTGAACAAATTGAGTTTTTGAACATTCTTCCTTTGGCCAAGAGTCTTGTGATAAAGGTATGCACATGTTAGACAGGCTAGGGGGAAAAGCAGTTCCACAGCTCCGGTGGTACCAGATGGCTCCACATGACTTCCAATCTTCCAATGAGCTTCAATTAGTTACATTCAGTTCCACTCAGCTCCAATGAGCTCTCACCCTCCGAAACTCATTAGAGCTGAGTGAAGCTGCTTGGAACTCACGTGGAGCCATCTGGTACTACCGGAACTGTGGAGCTTTCCCCCATCGCCAGCTCCACTGGGTTCCTGGTGATACCGGGAGCTGCTTTCTCTTCTAGTAGACAGCTCAAAATGTTTCCATCTTTCAAACTATCTGTCACGCCCACTGAGATTTCTCAGTATCAGCTTGTCCGGTGCTAATTCAGTCAAGTCTATCAAACATATGAGTCGATTGCATAGTCATTGTATCGCTGTATCCGAAAAGAAAAGCGTAAATATCTCTACTTCCTCTGAACCAACGCAGATAATCTTAGGTTAATCGGCTGATGTATGGACGATTTTTGGCAAGTTCTAAATAAAAAATGGGTCGAAAATCGACTAAAAGTCGGAAAAGGTTTTTTTCCATTCCAGTGGGCACGTATGGTCTGCGCTTGACATATTATATAGTCCGACAGATGCGCCTTACCGTGTTCTATCGAACTATGTGTCACATACATACTTTAATTTAAGTTATCATTTTTATTTCTCAAAAACCTTAAGGATCGTTTAATCCTAGAAAACCATCTGGTTTTCCACGAAGACTTACCTGACAGTTGGAAAAATATCATATTCATGGACAATCGACATAGCTCTGCCGAATGTACAACTCAGACTTTTTTCCTCACAACTACTATCCATTTGAAAATATAGTGTGGGTGATTACGACATGAATAACTCGAGAACGAAATGAGCTATCGAGATCGAGTTTTCGCCATCGTGTAGCCAAGACCGGGGCACGTATAATATACAGAAACTAAAATGTTTGCGTGGATCTCTGGAAAACCCTCTTATCGCTCCAAAGTTTTATATAGAAATCTATCATTTTTTTTCATATACAGATAGTCCAAGGTACCCTCTACAAAACCAGATCCAAACGACATCTCGAAAACTCATGATTCGGGAGCTACAGGCGTTTTTCTTGAAGCCTTAGAACTCGTCCACCTTTAGGTTTGAGACTGTCAGAAATGAATGAAAATATAGGTAACCGACTATGCTGAATCTCGTAGCAACATTTGTTTGTCAAAATAGTTTCAAAAACCTAATAAAAATGTACATTAGGTAAAATATCCCATTTTTGTCTATTTTTGAGTAAAAAATCAGAAATTCACAACTCAGTCAGAAAACCCGATACAAAAACTCCGTCGTAGGAAATCTGATACAATGCCCGAGCCGCGGAAAATCAAGATCTTACTTGACTCCGATATTGAAGAGAATACCTCGGACTATGAGCCCATGAAGATCAATCAATACAATCCTATTGGAAAATTTTTACACAAGGTCTAGTTTTTCAAAGATCTCCTAGAAAGAAACTAGGAGAAAACTCTTCTGAAAAACATTTTGATTATGAAAACGTATCTCCAAGTCTTCTCTTTCGAATAGTGAACCGTGAATAGTGAACAGTGAAATCGAAAGTCTCGATCTCTTTTCGTTCTCGAGCTATTTGAAAAATGGCCACCAGCACTATAATTTAAAAAGTACAGTAGTCTCATACAAAATAAGCTAAGTCAATGAAAATGAATGGATAGAAGTTAACACTAATAACTGATTAAGATCTGCACCTGAGCAATTACGGTATACTGTCGTGAATCATCCTGTTTAAATTTATTCATAGGTTTTTTTTATAATGCCAGTAATATTAAACGCTAATTCGATATGATATGATAATAGTAATGGAATCTGTCATTTGACCAGGGATGTGGCGATGAAAAAAAATGGGGAGAGAGTGCAGCCGACAAATTTTTCAAGTGCTCTTGCTGAGTAGATATGTGCAGGCATTTCGGCAAGATCTATAGAGGAGTTAGTCTTTAAAAAGCAAAATTGCAAAGTTAGATCTGCTGGAGAAAATCCATCACTTTAAAAAATGTGAGGGTGCGCACGCCCCTCCTCCCCATCCTGCATTTGACATACACGAGCTGCATGTAAACATACATGTTATTGATCAAGTTCTGAACTCTGCAATTTACGGTACAAACCCGATGTGAAAAACACCGATATATCAATATACACTGCTGTATAATAAAATACTTTTATGACTATCTCGTCAAACAGATCAATCATTTTCTTTGGCTTAGCTCTTACATGTAAACTATAGATGCTTTTCGTCAATAAAACATAACTATTCTTTATAAAATACCCTTTTCATTGAGTAAATGACCGCAACAAAAACACAAAAAATAGCGTACTAGTAAATAAGAAGTTAAAGATCATCAACTGGGATAAACATCACATTAAAGTAGTTTTTTGACGTTTTTACGAGATTAGCCACACCAGTATTTGACGAATGAAGGATAAAAATCTCTCCACGTTCAATGGTATAACTGTTCTCGAATTAACATAACAAATCAGAAATAAGAAACAGAAGAAAAAAAATAGTAATAACAATAAGAAAACATATAAGTACAAAAATATTGACAGAAAAGAAAAAGTAGCCATATTGCTCACAGGAAAAAATATTCTAGATTAGAAAAACAACAAATATGGCTTTGCTTCTTATCTGATACCTTTTGAAGCTAGTTCTTGTTGAACACGATTCAGGTATGTCTCATCGGGATATCCAAAACTAAAATGAAAAGTAACAAAATGAGAGAATAGTATTATGAACAGAAAAAGACATAATTAAAAATATTAAAAATGGCTTTGTAAGAAAAACAGATTAAAGGTTGTTTAAGATGGCATAGTAGATTTACATTCACCCAAATATCAATTTATAAATGATACTCCTTAAAAGAATTAACTCAAAAGACTATTATTAGGGAGAAAAATCCTCTTGATCTCTACAGAAACTAGACGGCAATCACGCCAGCGAGAGTTGCAAACGCGGTGCGAAGCAGCTAAATATAATAATTGGAGGTGAAGATTTTGTTTAATAACATACAGCAGCCTTACCACATAACTGATGAAGAAAGTGTAGATTACCTGCATAACAAAACAAATGTTTTGATTACTGGAGTCGGGGACAGTTGTCAGGTTCAAATAATGATTTATCAGTCTATAGCTTTAACCTTTATCATAACCCAGAGATTTTATCTACATAGTGCGTTAATCATCTTTAAAACATTAATGCATTTAGAGGCTAGGCATTGCGTTAATTACTCACTGAATACATATGAAAACATTGCCATGAAATGAATCACATAATATGGGAATTTACTCTCTTATAAATGCACCTGCACATGAATGACGCAGATTAATTATCGCTTTTTTGAAAAAAAATATAAGTCCCAGACGTTCAAATCACGTACTTTCGAACCTCCTAACTCTCTACGGAACACCTGCAAAGACTGAAAATAGCTTATTTATTAATTCAGACACATAGTTCCCTATTCGCGTTTAAAATTTTACTACACTCCTTCTAGTTCTCGAGAAAATTGTAACAGAAAATGACACTTTTTCGATCTAGAAAGGAAAGACGCAGTCTATTACTATAATGCGGTCTTGCTTCGCACCGTATTAAAAACGTCCCTGTCTATCAGCTTACAATTCGGCACCGCCATGGATTGAGGTTTTGTGATGTATATCGTTCCATGTTACAACGTCATTTTGATTTGTAGTGCGTGATTGTCCAACAGTAAATATATGATCTAATTCAAAAGCCCGTTTCAATAAATTTAGTACTTTTTTTCCTTCATGATTATCTGGCAAATAGGCAGTTCTTGTTGTACCTTTGAAAACGAATTAATAAACAAACTGTTATACCATTAATAACTGATTATGAGAAGAATAAAAAAATTTACCTCGATACGGTTGACCGGGATTTGGATGATGATGTTCTTGGATACCATCTGGCATTACATATGTTATTTGAATAGTACCACGTGAATTGTTTTCAAAGCCAGGCAATCGATGCTTTATTTTTATTGTTGACATATGCCCATTTTTTGGTTGATTACCTAAGGAGTGAACAATAGATATAGTTACGCTCAGAATTGTGCGTGATCTCTCAGTATTAGACTTGTAACTTTTCAAAGACATAAATTTTCAACTGACGATTTTCACCGATGTGACTCTGTCTTCATCTTAAATATTCTAGTTAAAATTCTAGTTCATGAGTAAAACATGAGTTTTTCTACAGTCCCCACAATTGTCCCTACGTCCAAAAATATACAACGTTTTTCTCTCTTTTCATACAGTGTAGATGTACCACTCTATATGACTATTCGGTAGCTGAAAATCATCTACATTTTGACAAAAAATATATTTTAAGAATCCGTCACCTTGCTCTTGTGATTCATTTTCTATTCCTAGTGTTAATTTTTTTGAATATTCCTAATATCTGGCAATGAAACAAGGCAGAACTGTGTGTCAGATACACCGTTCAAAAGAGAGTGCAAACATAAACTTATCATTCAACATGACAAAGCACGACATACCTCTAATAACTCCATACACCATAAAACAACACGGACATTGTGGTTTAATTTTTGTAAAATATTGATCAATACAAGCTGTACAAAACCGATGACCACATTTATCGAGTACTTTGGGCTCTTCTGGTTCATCCATACAAATACAACAACGATCGTTTTCTTTAAAAAAAATGTTGAAAAAAGACAAAAAATTCAAATTGCAGTTAAATAGATTTCTTCTCTACCCGAATTTATGACTAGATTGACATTTTCTGTTTTTTGTGGTTCAATGATAACAATTTCTTCATCAGCATCATCGAACTCAATTACTCTTTGAGCTTTTTTTCGATATTGTGATGCATCGTCATCTTTATCCGTTGTTTGACGTTTCTTTTTATATTTTGACCGTTGTTTTTCATTAGAAGGCTAGAAAAAAAGATAACAGAGTGCGGTTAATAGTTCAACGTTCATACACGCTTTATCAAAAAAATATTTAGTGGATTCCCTTATGTAATTCATTCTTATTTTAGCTTAGTAAGAAATTTTAGAAACTAATGCGTTTATAATAAGTATCCAAAAAGTTTAACAGAATATGAAAGATTTGTGAGCCTGGTTTGGTAAAGTAGATCGAGTGTACAAGAACTTACAGCATCTGACACAGTTTCAGGGCTAGACTGACGTTTGTCTTTCGCCACATTCTTTGTTTTTGTTCGACTACGACTTGAATTTGTCCTTGCTTTGACACGAGAACTAGAGCGAACACATTTTTTTGAACGATCTGACATTGTTTTTGTATATTGACTAGTAATTTACTGATAAGACATTCTATAATAAAACAAAGAAAACTTTTAATAAACAAAATCTTACCACGACAACAGCAATCTTTGACACACTTGGCTATGGGGTCTTTCCGGTTAAACACCGTTTGTTAATCTATTTAAGATAAATATGATAATGAAGTAAAACGTAATAAGTGCTAAGTTATGATCAGTGTAGATCAGTGTAAACTATAGAGTAAATCGCAGCAAACTGAACATAACATTGCATAACAACGAGGTTATTGTTAAATTTATTGGACAGTTTAGATAGCCAATTACGCAATTATGTACAGTAGCGCCTCATTTAGAACAGCTGCTTGATTTGTTCAGTGAAGCCAATGTTTTCAATTAAATGTCCAGAAAACAACACGACTGCACTAAAAGACACTTCGTTCGATGCTCAGAGACGGATCCCTGATCGATCGATCACCCAGCGTGAAAAATTCGAATAAAATATCTTTGGAAAGTGATGCTCTACAAGGGCTGCATGTTAAGATAATCTAACAACGCTGTCTAACTGTTTGGATTAACCATGCACCACAAATGTAGAATTTCATCTTAAGGGTATAATGAAGTTTTGCCGCAGTATCTAGTCGCACTCGTGACAGAAAAAATTCGAAAGTTTCAACTCTAACTGTTATGTTCGTTCTGAAATATCAGACAATTAGATTCGAACGAACTTTTCTCTCTTTTACAGCTTTTTTTAAATTTCTGTATATATATTTTAGCCGGTATAGTAGAGACATCCATGTGACAGTTTAAACAACATGATCGTAAGCAGGATTTACTATTGATTGAAAGGAGTTGTAATAGTACTTCTATCACTTATTTTCTCTTCCCAGATCAAAGAATCCAAGCATCTCATAGGATCCTACTTGGATTATATAGGACCCTACTAGGATCGTATAAAAATAGCTAGGAATCTTGGAATCGGAAACGGTGTAGAATTTCGTGGGAATTATATAGAGAATATGGTAGGATTTGGCAAGATTCATATTAGATCCCACTTACATTCGATATGATTCCGGACTCCAAGCTTTTTCTTGGGTTTTTATTTTATCTTTAAAGATACAGTCGGGCGACAACTCCATAAACTTAAGTCAAGGTAAAAACAAAAAAAGGCTTTCTCTTCAACTGTAACTGCTAGGCAAATATTCTAAAGGGAGGTAGTCATGTACGATATGCATGCATTTTAAGAACATCTTTACTTTTAAAATGTATGCAGATCGTACATGACTAACTTTTTTAAGAACATTTGCCTACAGTTATCAGCAGTTTTACAAGTACAGTTAACTGGTGTATACATAGCATCCGTTCATTAGAACAAACAGATGGAATATTAAAGTGCCAACTAAAAATTGTGAAATAAGAAAAAAATGTTGTTAAAGTTAAAAAGCGCACGCGAGATTCTTGACCAGCGTTACGCATGCTTTATCTATTTTTTGGGATACTTTTGCTTCTTATGGTATTTATCTCTTGCTTTTGTTATTTGTTGTTATTCTATTTATGGGATTCATTGTTATTATATTTTATATCAGTTATTTAAAAAAAACCAGCAAAAACCTTTTAGATATTGTCGGAATGTGTACGTGCATTTCACCTATCTACTAGTAGTTTCGCGATATATATTTGCTTATCTTCTTTCACAAAAGATTCTTGCCTAAATCGGCAAGATTTGTTGACGTTAAATGGAACGGGTATGAACTATGAACAATGGTCAAAACAGTTTAGCGTTTATTATTTTGTTTAAATTGAATAAACAATGTTCTTCGCCACAGTGCTTCGGGTAAAAAGAGACATTTTCTGAGTTTTCGTCGTATTTTTCCAAGTTTTCAGTCGTTTTTGAATACGGTGATAGACCGGACATTTTCTTACACGCTGATGCAAGCATATTCTGAAATATCCGATAGTTTTTGAGCTACATGCAAAATGCGAAGAGCCTCGGGACAAAGAGGTGCCCGTTGAAATATATGGAGTACTCAGAGACAAATTTGTCCCGTCTCTCAGAGAACGATTCTGATATTATATCAAATGAACTGTTTATAACACATATGTGAAACTTGCCAGGAATTAATCAGAAATAACCACCATTCTTATTAGTCGAAGTTCGCAATCTAATTCTTCATGACTGTAGAGTTATCAAGTGTTGAAGGAAAAGTTAAGCTTATCACATTTTTCAAAATCCAGTCTGTCTACCGAAAAATGTTAGAGAAAAAAGGATGAGATTTGACTAACATGGAGTAAATAAGTTGGAAATCATTTATTTAGTTTTCTAAAAAAATTCGATTGCTTATTTAAAGGCGAGATTTTTCCAAACGACAATCCTCCTCAAAATGAGAGGTAATATGATCTTCATTAACGATTGAAATCCAGGTTATCACGAAAACTGCCCTCTCTTTTGCCGCTGAAATGCACCATACATTTCAATGCATTATCACCCATACACTGTATGGCAGAGCTCTGCCGGTTGCCACTTTTTGGCAACCTATAACCTAACCTATGAAAAATTTCACAACCTCATCCTAACCTAACCTATGAAGTCGATAACCTAGTCCTAACCTATCCTGTAATTTTTTGTTTTCAACCCACAGAATGTTACATACATATTTCACAAAAGTAAAAACATACATGTCATTGAGTTTTTTGCCTTTCAAAGAATTAGGGCGTGAATGCCTCAAAATCAGCAAAACATTTTGCTTGAGCAAAAGTAGAAAGAAATGGAAAAAAATTAAAACGCAATCTACAACCTAACCTATAAATTTTGCAACTCAGTCCTAACCTAACCAATAGGTTAGATTAGGTTAGGTCAGGTTTAACCTGCAGGGCTCTCCTGTGTAGAGGCCTCACCCGTTTCTTCTTGTTTGAATCTAAGGTCGTGCCACCTTTGATTTTGAAGAAGGAAACCGGTTCAATGAAAGTTTTTGCGATCAAAACGGCTGAGAACTCGCAAAAATACAACGAAATTTCGGACAGTGTCCCCTTTTTATCTCAGAATACTTCACTTTTAAAAAGATTCTTTTAAATCTCGTAAGATTCTTGTCGAGAGACAAGTTTTTGTATGTGCCTATGTTGCCGTCAGTAGAGGCTAGACCTCTTGAGATAGAAATATATGTAAACTATTTAACAAGATTCTTGTCTGAAATGCCAAGAGAAGAATCGTGTAAGAAATAGGACGAAAACATTGGTCAGTCCAGTCATTTTTCACGTGTCACTTGAATGTGAGTCACTTTATTTTGTAGTAGTTTTATATTTTATTTCGCCGACAGAAACATGACCGTAGCTCTGCATGGTAAATTTGGGTGTATAAAAACTTGGCTGATTTCCAGTTGTTCCCAAAGAATGTACAGAATATAACACAAAATCTTATCGGTGTACTTCTATTGGTCAACTTTCAGTTCTTCAGTAGTACAAGTTTAAGTAATAGTTTCATTTACTGGAGTTTCAGCGAGTGTACTAAGGACTGATATTGTTTGATCAAACAGTGAGTCAAAAGAGAAAAAGTATTTGAGTTTTATTAAATTTGTGATATTTTCTTTGAGCATGCTCGATTTTTTTTGCGTACAGTAAAAATGTTCAATAGAAAGCCAATAACCTGTATAAAAATGAGTGTAAAAACAAAACAGTTTAACTTCGAGAACGTATTTAAATCGGATACATTAACATAATAAGATATCCAGTGTAAAAAAATGAATATATTCTCGACTGATAACAGAGAATGAACAAAAATAGTTAAAGCATTCGTTGTTCGCTCCTCATCAACTGAAATATAATCTAAAACCAACGTTAGTACTTGTAAAAAAATCGTTGATGAAGATGAAGATTTTGAACGATAAGAAACTAAAAGAACAGCTGAAATCAGTAGATGAACTAGAAAAAATGCTATACTCAACCATTTTGCTAATATCAAAAGAAATAAAATTGCATAAGTACGAGTGAATATTGAGAAACACCGAGCGATTAATATAATAAATAAGTTACCCTTGGACATGGTTAGTGGGACTTGTGTACATAGTTTCTCTGTTAATATACCAGTTAAAATTGAACAATCGATGAGTAGATAATACAGTGCAGCAGTAATTATAATATCGTGAATTAAATTAGATGACAATAAACTATTACTTTTCTTTCCATAATTCTTGTTGAGTAACAGATTTGTTGAGGATAGTAGTGGCAGACCGTGTTCTTTTTGTCGATGTGTACTCGTAAGTGAATTTGTAACATTTATATGCTGCTCATTAGGATCAAAGCATCTAAACAGATAACAAAGTTATACTAACTTGTTGATATATGTACGCAATATGTTTGATATTTTTCTGTTTCTGTTCATACTTACCGTGTGGATAACTTGAAGATATTTCCTCGTCTGGACTTCGCTATGATTCTTTTTGGACTAATAGTAATTACTTTTAAATTAACAGAATAATAATCGATTGTCGGTTGATGATGTTGTAGTTGTGCCATAGTTTCATTTTTTTCGATTGTTCGTATAAAACGCAAACGTATATCATTATTAACTACATCTATTGGCATCCACCTTGGTAATAAGAAATATTTGTCAGAATAGGATGATTGTGGAAAGGAAAAATGAGTAGACCAAAAATATAGATTGACAATGCCGAGTAAACCAGAATGTAAGAGATAAAATGTAATTAAATATCGAAATGTTCGTATAGAATTATCTGTCAATGATGACGTCTTCATTTGTACCATGGTCTCTTTTTCAGATTTTGCTGTTGTTGTTGTTGAACTAATTGTTTCTAATGTTGTCGTTTGTGATGTTGAGGCTGTTGTGGAAGTAGAATAAAAATGACTCGATGAATGATGATTATTAAAATTATGTGTTAATATACGCAACAATTTAATGAGTAAATATAATCGAAATACAAATGGTACTAATAATACTTTAGATTCGAATGATGAACATAAAGTCACTTTACAGCGTATATAATCATAGACAATGTTAAACCATACTATAACATCGGAAAAAACTACACATGCTAGAACTATGAGTGTCATGGTTAGATTTGTGTGTATATGATAAACATATAATATGACAATATCGATAATATGTGTAATTAAAAATAATAGTAATAAAATGATATTTGAAATATTTGTCAGAATATTGCTTGGTCGCTCATGTCTTTCATAGTCTGATGAATCTCGTAGGATGTTTAATGTCGTAGGTTCACATTTATTTAGACGTAATATATCAGTTGATAAAGATCGATGAACAAATACATTTGGACGATAATCTCGTCTATCTGACTGTGTACGTATGACAGATGATGAAAAAGCGAACGATATGATGGTAGAATCTTTTCGTAATTCTTTTGAAAATGGTATATCATCATCATCATCATCATCATTATCTTCTAACTCATTACAAAGTGTTTTTTGATCATCATCAATATTTTCATCCGATCCAAATGTTGTCCAACTAGTTGACAAGGCTTTTGGTAATATATAGAAATTTATTCCATTTGAAGATAATAATTGTTCATGCGTTAAGATGCTTCTGTTACTATGTTTTGTTTCTTCGAAAATATTAGTGATGGGCATTGGATATGTAAACGAAACATCCGCTATACTCGTGTGTTCACACACAAGACGTTTACATTTGGGACAACTTGTTAAACTTGAGGAATAATGAAGAACATTCATAATACTAGTCTAAAAGTAAGTGACAGTTATAATTAATTGTAATAAAGAATATATCTATATCAGAATTACAAATTGAACAGAAATAAGTAGATTATTGTTCTGACTTAATTGAAAATTGTACATTTTCAGGGGATACTTATCGAGAGAGTTTTAAAAAACTTGGATCCTTTGTATGGCACTTACTACGAAATAATCATTTAAATAACTAACAACGATGACACACACACATTGTTTTTTCCTCTATGTTCAATAAAAAAAAAGAAAAATGAAAGTAGATCTAAATGTGTTTATTTTCGAAAGTTAGAAAATATAATAACAATCTCATTACTTATCCTATTTATGCTAATTTGCTTTATTTACTTACATTTTCTTTTTCTTAATAAAGATTAAATTGAGATTATTATGTTTTGATACCTCTTTCAATAAGAAGAGAGTGACACTGAACTCTCTATAGACTCAATTTATCTTGCATCTATGCTACCTTAATACACTGACTTCATTTTTAAGTTGAAATGTGTTTTTAAGTTCATCTGTATATATATATATATATATATAGGTATGTGTAGATAAGACAGAATGAATAGACAAATAGAATTCATGCCGTCTGATTTCAATATGAAAATGTTATCAATTTCGAATTAAATCAAGAAGGATAGATGCCATCCATATAGACTATGTGCAATTAGTTTTTGATAGTTTTTATTTTCATTGATAAATTCTACAACCTGAATTATACGCATGAATTGTCTATTATATTGAACAATAACCACAATCTTCACTTATTATTTGACCAGCCCACAATTTTAGACAAATAACAGTTAAATGGGCAATTCAATTAAACTTCGTACAAATTAATCAATAAAATTTTTGTACCATTCTTTTGAATATTTATGATGTAAAAATAATATTAAGAAAGCATGTCATGTTGTTATCTATCTCATCGTGATATCTGTACGTGAATATTTAAATGAAGAGAAACTTAAAAAAAAAAGATGATGTTGTTCAAAGTAAACTGTTACCACATTTATAGATCTTACGTCAATGAATGATACATATGTGTCTAATGGAACTGGAAGCGTATACAATATTACCAATTATAAACGTTTGACTAGTTTGCCGAAGATGGAATAATTTCAAATGTCTTTGTACTCACCAATGAATCTATCGTGACATTTGTCATTCTAACCTTGAATCAAAGTTTTCAATAATACAAGAATTAATTAAACGTTTTTACTTTTTCAATTGCGTGTGTGAATACTTAATTTTCGAAATTTGAGCTCTCCCGATGCTTAAGAGCAAAAGAAAAGATAAAAAGACAATTTTCTTTCTTCTTTTCTCATATATTGAATGTGTTAAACGCAAGAGATCACATCATAATGATACCCTAGTATAGGCTGATAATACCAATGTATAATTGGCATATTAATCGCTGAGAAAATGGCTTATGTAAGACGTGATTCTTCTATTTTATTTTCTAATAGAGAAATTCTATGACCTGACAATAAAGTTTTGTTACATTAAAACTATAAGACATAAACAGAAGAATCGAAAGATGCGGCGATAACCTATGTTTTCACGTTTTGTTAAAAGTTACGGATATCGAATTTAGGCCTCATTTCATACCACGTTAAACGATAAGAAATCGATAGATCGGAGGATTCCCATTTCAAGTTCAAATTCTTCAAGTTCAATTTATTTTGCCTAAGCAAGGACATCACAAAGAAAGTAAATGTTTAGTAACTTGTAACATCTGGTAAACAGAAGCCTTAGTGATACCTGTATAACTAAAAACACAATAAAGAACAAAATAAGAGGCGATTTCCCAATGAACAAAGAGAAGAAAAAATAAATACAACTAGAGTTGTTTAATTCAAACCCAATTCCTGTCGCAGCACCTCCTTAAAAACTTTGTGACTATTCTCAAGTACCAAATATGGAGGAAGATTATTCCATTCTTTAGATGTTTTTGGTAGAAAAGAGTTACACGTGGTTTTAACCTTAAAGTTTGGAATTGCTACCCGTCTGTTATGTCCTCTGCGGAAAGTCTAACGAGTGGTAAGAGGGGAGATAAGATTGTGAGAAGAAATAGGGCTTCTACCGTGATAGATTTTATGAAAGTAAGTGAGCCTGTAATATCGATGACGCACTGATAAAGATAACAGTTTCAGTTTTTTGAGAAGAAAGACTGAAGAATTTACATAATCTTGGAGAATAATACGAGAAGCTAAACGTTGAACCTTGTTTAACACTTTCAGATGAAAAATGAAATCAAAATCAAATAATACACAAGAATATTCAAGTACCGGATGTACACACATTTTATACAAATGAAGACGCATAGAATACGGAGAATCGTGAAAAACTCGAGAAATAGAACCTAACATTTTGCGGCAAGTTGTAGCGATGGAATCTAGATGTGTTTTTCATGTTAAGTTGTAGGAAAGAAAAAACGCCTAATAATTTTAATGAAAAGACAGGTTGAATCGATTTGTTTTTGATTGCTAAAGAAACAGAATTGTAAAGAGCAAACTTACCGTGGAAAAAAATGAAAATATTTCTCTGAACTTGTTGAGATATGAACCGATTTTCCAGAGATCTTCTGGATTTTAGCCTAGAACTTTGAAATCCGACAAATCCCATACTAAAAACAAATATCCACACAGTGAAGACACGTGTAATAACAAACGATGTGTGCGTGACTTTGTTAATCGTAGATATTGTAGAACTCGTGAACATTTGAGGTCTAACGCGTTGACGTTTGAATGCGTTAAATACGATACTCTGAAAATGGAAGACAAACAAAGTTTTTTGTGGGCAGTACACATAAAATTTATTATTGAAAAGATCAATTAATTCGGACAAAGTTGTGTTCAATGATATTTCATGCAATATATAGAATGGCAATATATAAATAGAGATTATATTAAACAATATGAGCCTATTTTTTATTCACTAGTTATCATCACAGATCGGTTTGAACTTTACTTTCACACAAACGATCGGTAATCTTATTGGATTGTATTAAAATATTATAATAGTATTAAAATAATTTGTGATATGGAAGGATGTCTGTAACATATGGATATAGTCTTTTAGCAATGCAAGTTCAACATAGTGTAATTATTTGCACAGAAACTTTGTCTATTGCATTAGATCAAAATAAATCACATAAAAGAAGTGTCTGGTCTGAATAGCGTTAAGTCATTGTCTATTAGTTATTTTCTATTTCCACATGATTAACTCTTACCAATGTACACAATCTTAATTAATTATCGCTATCAATCAAAGTTTTTTTGCGTTTTGATCTTGTCTTCTATCAATATTTATTCCTGGAATCATTAAACATACACTTGAACGTATAAGAAGGACACGATAGAAATAAAAGGGAAAAAAACGACAAAATCTGCTTCTGTTCGGTATATGTTCTAAAGAGGAATATGAAAATATTTTGAACTAAATATTCTAGACCGACAAGCTATTTTACCAGGAGGCACCGTAATATATTTTTATTCAACATCGTAAGTAAATGAATATCATGCGGTCAAATAGGTTATTCGTGGATTGCTTAAGGATATCCCCCTATTTTTCTGCAAAAAACTTTTCATTTTGAGATGAACATAGTCTAATGAAGAGGAAAATTTGGGCTATAAAATGAGACCACTCCTAGCTCTCCACGATCTTTCTTGAAAAAATTATGAAGTTTTTAAGTTGTTCCTTCAAAGCCTAGAAAATCCCAATTTTTTAGTTTTGTAAATTTTTCTCTCCTTTTCTATATATTCAAAATTTTTTCTTATAGATAGCATGATGGAAGAAAGTGTGCTCTTCAAAATGAGACGTCTTCCAGAATTTTTCGAGGAATTTTCGTGGAAATATAAGCATCACCGCAAATGTCCTGAAAAACAGAGTCTGTGTATAATATGTGTTTTTTCGATGTTCTTTTCAATCCAATCACATTACTAGCCCTCGAAAAAATGGTCCGATCGAGATGAAATTTTAGATCTTATATCAGATTCGTTTTCTTTTATAAGCATTTCAATTTCAAGTTTGGGCATTAGAAGGTTTTTAAAATAAAAAGCCGTTTTTTTATACAGCCTTTTTAGTATTTTTCGAATATCTCGAGAAGGAAAGCATTTTTCGAAACGAAAAAACCGAAGCTGAGATAGGGTCTGAGGTATCTCTGGTAAAATTTTGAGTTCGATCCAACCATTTTTTCGAGGGATCGTAATGTGACTGAATGAAAACTAAAGTTTTCCAGAAAACCCATAGAAAAAGAACATGTCAGAAAATTCTGCGCAAAAATACATCGATTTTCTTTTTCGATGTTCTGTTTCTGGTATAAATTCCAGCTCGATCAAACATCGGCTTCCTCGGTTTTCAAGGGAGGTCAAAAAAGAGGAGGGAGGTACCCTTAATTAATACGAACATGTAAAGTGATTATCTATCAAGATGTCACAGAGCGATGATTATAGAACAGATGATTTAAATGGAATAACTCAGATTTTTCCATGCGCAAGAACCTTATAGTTTATTAGACCAGGCTATACAACAGACTGTACTAAACAAAACGAAGTCTATAGTTATAACCCTTATATGATTATTATAGTCAACCCTATTTAACGTGTACTACTTCATTATGAAAAAAGGACAAGAAGAATGTGGTGTTTTTGCTGAGAATTTCTCAAATACTGCTTCATTGAATGAAGATGTTCAAGAAAAATGTATTTCTCAATTTTACTCACAACAAACGACAAGTGGATTAAAGTTGACATATTGTTTTTCATCATACAAAATATACTGAGTGCCTGACTTTCAAGTTCAAGTGACAATGTAGTACAAAAGACTACTTCCTTTTAAATGAGACGCTTCCGAGATTTGAAGAACGTTGCGTTAAAAAGTCAGAGTACAGCGTTTCAACAGGAGTTGGTGTTTTACCACAGGTAGTACCAACATAATATTCGGTCTATTTCGAAAGTATCAATTCGCTCTTATTCAGTAAACACTTCGGAAAATTTTGATTGAAGCAAAGTGCATAGCGGCTTGTATTTAGAATGTTCCGAGCGACAGAAAAGGACCTTTTAAAAAATCATAGATCGCAGACGAAGTATTATGTTGCACTACTTATAGAAAGAATTCCACCATGAGAGATCAAGTCCTTCTCGTCTAAACGTTGTCGCAACGGAAAATTAATTTACGCTGTGACAGCGTCTTGTAAAGTAAAACTATAGAATACTTTTGGTAGAGTTGTTCGATTACTCATTACGATCTACTTTCCTTGGCATAAAATGCAGAAACAGGAGAATTTTGGCTACAAAATCGTACACGATCTGGCGCATTACTTAGATATATCAGATATCTTATATGAATCAGGAACGGATACTCGGGAAACCGTGCACAATCTTAATCTTTGATTATGACCATTCAACCAGATTTATTGGCCTAGGCAATGAATAAGTTTAATATTAGGAGCTGAAGACTGTGCAAAAAGGATTTAGAAAACTCGATACGCTATCAGTTAATCTTTTCGAAGTACATATTGAATTGTAGGTCCACATATATTACTATAACTATCTGTTCACATTTCTAATAAAGACGAAGTACAACAGTTATAGATTAAAACACATGCAAAAAAAAAATCAGAAAACATCTACACGGTTACACAAATATTATGAATAAAACAATGATTATTATTATTTATCTGCTTCGTCTTTTCATCGAGTGTTTGAATTACATCGGGTAATATTAAATGAGAACAAGACGATGATGTGGTGGAAGAAGATGAAGAGGTGGATGCTGTAGAAAATGATGTTGTCGATGAATGATCACCATTGATTCCATTAATTATAGGTGATAATGAATCATTTTCTATTTGATTTAAACTTAAATCAGAAAAATGTCTATTGAACGTTGTTGATGATAATTTTTCATTATGTGACGACGGTGGCAATATTGTTTCAGCTAGAACAACGTGTCTTAAACACGGCTGATGAGGACGTTTCAAATAGTTTGTTTTCTCTTTGCTATCGGCCACAGCAAATGGATCGGGTGATGATGCATTTTTTACCGATAATCCACTTATTCGTTCGCTATGATATGGTAATGATCGTCGTGCAAACGGCGTACGACGAATGTAGGGTGATGATGTTGCTGTTGTGCTGGTAATGGTAGAATTTGCAGCTACTGAACTACGTCTTGGTGATAATTTTGGTTGTTGTAATTGTGGAGGGTTTGTTGTATCAATATTTTCAAATTGTTGTCGTAGTAGTGATAAACGATTACTCGTCTGTTGATTATTCGGATTGTACTTGCGAATGAAAGTGGTATTATTTAATGATAATTGTCGCATTTGATTGATATATTGATCGTTTTTTGAACTGAACGAAAAAAAATAGAACAAATATTTCTTTCAATAGACCAGACATATTAGTTAACCAGACAAATTAGAACTAATGAGAAAAGAACAGTGTGAAAATGTTTAATATTAATTTTGCCTCATCGTTGAGAAAGAGAAAGTGAACTTATGTCTTTTATGCAGTGGGTATAGTGTCTTTATTTCTATAGATAAAAATCAAATTTGTGCAACTGGCTCATACTAGAGATGTGCAAGATGACCCTAGCTTGTCGTATTAGGGTAGGCTAGGGTAGGGTGTAAACTTTATAGGGTAGGATAGGTTACGGGTACGAAACATTTTTATAGGGTCCTATAAGATAAAGAATGCTTAGTATTGAGAGACACTCGCTCCTTTAATGGTGGTGCATGACTTCGTTATCCATCAGAGAGGATCTACGCCAGTTGTTATTGGATGTGGATATGGAGTTTGTGAATAAAACTGTACCTAGAAAAACGAACGTCGATCGCTGAACGGATGATCCCTATTTTACACCTACTTTCTTATGCGTAGGTGTAGGGTGCAAACGGTCTAAAGTCAACAGGGTAAGGTGGGACAGGATGTGAAAGCTAATATGGTAGGATAGGGTATGAGAAGTTTCTATAGGGCACAAGGTACAACAAACTCGTACCCTTGTGCACACCTCTAGCTCATACTTATCGGAAAATATTTCAATGCTGAGTTTATACCATTTATTCGAATACTGATCCTACGATTTGAAGAGAATGTGGCTGTGAGGCTTACTCGTACGTTATGTCTTAAAGGTCTCAAAAATTCCTACTTACAATAGATACTCAACTCGATCTTTTTGTTATAGATCTTGTTCTAAAAAAGGATCGGATTGCGTTTGTGGTTAGGAATCAATCAGACGACTGTCAGATTGAAACCATAGAAATCTATGGAGGATGCAAGGTAAGTTTAGCGAAGTAACCACAGCTAACGTCGCCGATCGCTTTAATAACGTTCTTTTATCGTTATAATTTGAAATTATTTGATATTGAGCAATTACATTCCTCTCTGGCAAAATGCAGAACGAGAAAAACATATGCGACGTAACAAGTTGCTGAGACTATGTATGCTTTGTCATCAATGGTTATTGCTTACTTATCGTTCTCGTTTTGTCGTGCACTAGGACACATTTGAATTGGCCTGAAGGCACTGTTCTTCGATATGGATAATTTTGTTTTTGAATTTTCATTTGTCATACTGCAGCGTGGTTTTATATCGTGCACAACTAATCCAGTCGTAGAGGATTGTTTTATCATCGATCGATTTTGCTGTTGTTGTATTAGTTGACGTTGATAATATCGATTTCGGTACGTTGATGAATCAATACTCAAATGATTTGAAATTTCTGAATCAGAAAATCCTGAATCGCCACATGATGATGCCACATCGGTAATTTTTGATCGATTTGTTATTATTGGTTGTGACGAAATTGCTGTTGTCGGTGTTGATAACAATAATTTTTTATTTGATGGTGGTGTTGCGGTTGTTGTTGTTAATGGGGAATCTTGTATTGTACAAGATGGACGGGTTGATGAACGTTGAATATTCGATGAGTTTGTTGTATTCAAATTCTTATTGCCAAAATCATGTGGTCTGTACATTTGATATGAAGAATAATCGTTACTATTTTTATTTAAAAAATTATCACATTTCATTGATTGTCGACGAAATACAGGTCGACAACAAATATATGGTACAAAGCCTTGTTCATTATCAGCCGTTTTGATAAATAACCATTCATTTAACATATATTGAGCATTGACAGGAAAGCCTTTGAATAACAAAAAATAGATAATAATAATTAACTAATTATTTTTGTATAAAAATTTAATTATTTACCTCTCTGAATATCAATTTGTTTCATATTTTTATTATTTTTATCTGGTCTAAATGATAATACGACTAACATTGGAATGTTGGCAGGCGAAAAAGACGATGCTTTTTTTAATCGTTCATGAACGATTAAATCTTCTTCTGTTTCTGATTCATTATTACTATAATTATCATCACTGCCATCGTCATTCGCACCAATAGCCCTTCGACTACTGTTGCCATTGATATTTCTTTGACGATTTTTGTCTACTACAGAAAATAAATGTATATTGTTTATAAAGTTGAGCATTTGAGTAGAGAAAGACATTTTAAATACCTGATTTAGAAAATCCATATTGATTTTCTTCTTGATCATCTTCAGAACGTGATGGACAAGGTAAATCATCATAAAATGAGTTTCGCTTCGCGGCACACAAACATGTTTCTAAATAGACAATTGCTGATAAATACGTATTAGGGTTGAACATACATCAGATTAACTGATTCTACAAATCTAATGAATTTATTGACAGTTTACTTTTAATTATTAAATCTGTCGTGTCAATGGTGTCTTATTATGTTACCTAATCTTCAGCTAACTGGTTTCATATCTTATTTGTAGTCTGTGAAATAAGATTTTTCAACGAATGTTTAAGATTACTCCTACGATAAGTTCAGAGTCCCATATAGTATAATTAATTTAGAACCGCCTTAATCACTTACGATTGCATGTATCAGTTGTATTTTTATCTGTCTTTGTTCTTAATTTAGATCGCTCAAATAACCATTTTAACATTTATGAGACTAATAGCGTTATTCAATGTGTGACATGTATAGTAAATTATGTTTTCGGAAAATCGACTATTTATATATGTGTGTGTATGCTTTATTTTATATTAACAGAAATTTTTTATGACAAGGTTTATTTCGTCACGCTACTCAGTTTTTATACCAAGTGCAAACTTTTACATCATCAATGTTAAATCAAACAGATATTGAGAATGAGATAGAGAGAGAGATAGAGAGAGAGCCTTGATATATGTTCAGTATAAGAGGTAAAAAGAACAGAAAAAAAGAATTCAAAAAGGTGCTTTAATTGTCAACTTTAGATGTCAACTATAACAACAGGCGAAACAAGTGCTTATACACTGATTAACGTTTAACAATAGGAAAAGAACGTATACTCCAGACGGATGTAATCATTTCACAATCTTTGACTCTAGTAGTACCAGAAAAACTCTTCTTCGCAACATTCTTTGAAAATAAGTCAAAAGTTTAAGAGATTTTAAAGACTTATTCAAATCAATGAAAAGCGAACTGTTACACAATACTAAGACAATTTGAGAAATGAGTGACAGGAAACTATCACTTAATATTTCATCTATACAGTAACTCCATCCATTTCAATCAGTTATTCAAATCTAAAACACGTTGTATTTGTTGTATGTTTTTCCTTTTTCGGATCAACGCTTTGTTGTTTTGTTTTCAATAAACAACATCATTCATGCGTAGTCCTCACTGATTGATTCAACATGGGAAAATGAGATACGATTGTCAGGTGGCACCTCTGAACGAGAACATCTCTCACTCTCTCTATTCAAGGTCGAACAACTAACTTTCTTGCTCATTATCAATTCTCGACCAAAGAATGAAGGCATATACATGTGTTATTATCACTCATGAATTTTCAATGATAACACGTAGAACAACACGTGTATGAATATGAATAAATAAAAAGATCGTACATTTGATCTATCGAGAAAAAAGAGTGAACCAGATTTACCGAAGTGATCTTTCAAAACAAAAGACCACGATATAATGCAAAACCTAAATATAGAGTCGAGAATAGAAATATTGAATAATACAAAGACTTTTTTGACAAACAAAATGATATCTACTGTCCGATCTCCCTACATATAAACTATATTGCTTGTTAAAATTCTTTCATCTAAAAATTTTCTTAGTAGAATTACATCAAACATCTTGGCATGGCAAACAATAAACTGTATAGTGCATCATGACAATGCATGTACATTTTTAAACGTTAAAATCTTGAACTATAACAGACATAAGACTTGCCATAGTAGCGGTTACTAAACGAGAAAAGATCGCCAAGTGTCTAAATCACTGTTTTCCTAGAACACAGTTATCTATGTATAGTTCGTGAACATTAGGAATCTGAACTGGGTTCTTCCCATTTCTTTTTCGAAAGTCTTCTATAAAAATAGTTTTCCTGAACTCCAAAAAATATCAACTTTTGAAGTGACAATTTCGAACATGGCTAGTTAACACAAACTATTAGACCTGTCATTCTCACTATATTTACATTTTATTTATTAATTGGTCAACAACTAAGCTAAACATTCCCCAAATAGACTGATACTAACTTTTCATATTCATGGAGAGACAAGATAGGCGTCAACGATTCAGTTTGCGGTATAATTCTACGTATATATTGATGACATAGGTCCATAGGTGCATACTAAATTCAGATTAGTTTCCATTTACTTTCGTTGTACTCTTTTACCTGTAATGAACAATAGAAACTGTTTTTTTGTCCAAAATTGTTTAAACATGATGATAGTGACCGATAAAATACGTTTGAATTCTAATTTCAATTATAATCAACAAACATAGTAGCCAGTAAACGATATGATGATGTTTGAAAAAAAAACGAGGTCATTCAAGTAGCACTCATATAAAAGAAAATATTTGAATTTAATAGAAAGAAGTCGGTCTGTTGCTTATAACCAGTATATACTAGAGGCACTACTATATTTAACAGAATAGAAGAAAAATAAAAAGGAGTGTGCACATAGACAATTCCTAATCTGATAGAGAACAAAACAGAACGAACGAGCGGGATAAAATGAACGTCCATAGATGAGCTACTAATTAGAAATTTCTCTCGAAATAATATGAACTGCGTTAATCACAGTGAAAATTGTTAAAAGAGAGCCATTTTAAGCTTTATATTATCATTATATTTTAGAAATCTTTATCGTTAATTGGTGATGAAAAGAAGAAGAGAAAAAAATAGAGAGAACATATATTATCTAGCAAAATGAGAGAGGTCATTTCTTGTTTATAAAATATAGTCATGAATTGAGGAATGTCAGAAGAAAAAAAGAAAAGAAAAAAGAAAAGACTGAACTGTACGGATGTTTTCTCAATTGAATCCCTTGTTATTTTGCTATGCAGACATTTTCAGGCAGACATCAGTCTGTCTGTAAAAGCCATTCATATTAAAAAAATTAATTATTGTGACAGAATCACATTGATTCCAGTGTACCATTCCCATGCACTATGTGAATCAATTTTTTCGAAAGTTTTTGATGAAACCTTTTTAGTAAGAAGTAGTAGTACGTATAGAAATACATACAGACATAGAACAAATAAGGAAATAGAAGGAGAAAAGACAGAACAAATTAGTTCCAAATGTCATATATACTTGTCTAATTAATTTTATTGTCTCCCTAAAGTTTGAAAATTTTTGTTCATCATGTGAAATATTAAACTAGTTAGCAGACATCTCAAACATATTGTCATAATACAGATTCTTTCATCTTTAAAATACCTTTCTATGCTATTTATTCATAGGAAAAATAGTCTATATTTGAACAATGATTGTTACATAAAAACATAAGTATAGAGAGAAAGATAATTAATAAATATTTGTATACTGATAAAGATGACAGGAATCAACGAGTGAAGGTATTTCATTTCTTAAGTAACAGTGTTCTATCCAAATGAGATCTTTGTGGTTCAAATATTTACTGAAACCAAAAATAAATTGTCCAAAATTTTCATACAACAGCTGTTTTTCTTTTCTTTTTTTTTTCCATTTACTGAAAACTTCTGAATATCTTAGTTGTGAAATGTTACAGAATCAATCTATTGGATGGCATATGTGCACACAAGTTTCAATCAAGTGGACATATATACGGACAATCTATTGATGAGATGTTTGAACAATCACTCTTTAACATTGATATCTAATAGGTACACACCACTTACATAATATATAAGTACTTTTCCATCGTGTGCAATATTTATGTAGATACATTAATATGTCATTAAAATATTTTCATGTAATCATTCGTTGAAAATGAGAATGCAGAAAGGACTTTCTCGTTATATTTACTAATGATGGTAGAAGCTTCAGGCCACTCTATAACAATACTTTTTTTTATGGATCAAGTATAAACACCATCTTTTCATGAAAAATACCGGATAATTAAACATTGATTTATCTATCATCCAATCTGAGAAGTAGAATGTCAAACTACTTAAAGTTGAACGATATTCATGTACCAATGAATGTTGTGTCCGATAGTTTATAGTTCTGTTTGACCAGCTTTTCTCATAACCACTATATGTCTCACACAGTTATTATGAGGTGAAAACAGAAGATATTCGTCTGTCAAAAGTGTAAATTCAATCATTATAATTCACTTCGCTCCTTTTACATGAATAAAGTTAGCGCTTCGACTAGTCAAAATAATTGAACTCGAATGATGATAGACTAGAAAAAACACATCTGCTGCTAATTTTTTGTTATTCATTTAAGTCAGCATCTGTCGTTTTACCATTCACACTCATGTTTTTTCACTCAAAAAGGATTCTATCATTTTAATTTACATCTATCGCGTTTAAATGGTTAATTATTTAGAGAAATAAAAGCTGGCATGATTTTGTTTTCACTCGTTTCTCACTAAACTCGACACCATAATTTGTTAATTGCTTTTTTTCTCAAATATAAAAGCGTATCCAAAACACACATATATAAATGTATATGTATTCAGCCGTACAAAAACAAAACCATGATGTTCACTTACTCTTTCGAAATTTCTTTGCGCCAAATTTCAATAAACCCATTATTCACGCCCATAAAAGTCCTATTTCTGAAATGCATACAAAAAAGAAAGAAGGTCATAAAAGAAACGAAAAATTGTAGGTTAATACTAATGCTGTTTCATGCTGTTCTTTGATAGAAAAAATGTATAATTGTTCAAGAATTTAGAGATTCTTAACAAGAGGAAGGAAAACAGAGTCTTTCATAACCCCATCTAGTCTCGTAGAAATTGATGTATTGTGTACTAAAGTTAGAATCAGATAATGATGAATAGAAACCGAGAAACTGCTTATAAGGATAGTCTATTTAGATATAGACAGGAAAATAGACGGTATTAGATGCCACTGAAATTGGATTAAAAAAACCACTATGTAAGCCCTCAGTTAGAGTTGAAAAAAAGTCACAATTTTGACAACTTTTTGTCTGATAAGCAGTTAGTGGTAGACATGTCTTACTTGACAATCAGTTATTTTTCTTCTTAAAGAGAAATTATGCGTACGGTATCAGATTACCTCTGATGGAGAAATGAAGTGCACCAGAATACAACGTAGCAAATAAAAAATATACATATATGTTGTATATCACTCGTGGATTGTGAAGAACAGAAAGAAAAGAAAATATTGTGCAAACAGGCAGGCATATGAGAAGACAGAATGACAAATAATAATGTCATATCGTTGTATATATGTTGAATCAGTAACGTTCAATCGCTTATAACGAGTGTAAATAATTGAACTGATAATTTATAATAATCAGCCGTTTGCTCTCCCTCATAGTCTCAAACTCCAATAGATGTCTAGATTTAGAATTTTCTAATAGAATAAAATGTATATATAATCCAAGATTTTAAAATTTTATCATAATACTGCTTACCCAATGTAATTGTCATAGAGAATTGTATTAGAACGAGATCTAAAAATAAATGAAAAGACATCTTGTTAATCTGTTTGATGGATGCGAAAACACTATAGATATTATATTTTCTTTTTTTTGTTTGTTCCGTAGTTGTCAGGATCATCGTTTTCTTTTTTCAAACGAGCAACGAAGACCGAAAGAACGAAAAAATAGTGTACAAAATTGAACGTTAATACATTATGTATTATTATTAATTCTATCTCACTCTCTCTGTACTGTATTTTACATGTTGCTCTTCTATCTCTGATGAAAGAAGAGTATTTCTCCAGTTTACAATCTAATTGTGTACAATTGTTCTTCTTCTCCCTCTCTCTCATACATATGAGACTGAACAGAGGCCAATTTATTCCTCCTAGCCTCTGCTTATTTATCGTTTATTTGTTCTATATGAAGCGTCCCTGAAGAGACTATAGACGGAAATTAGAGGACAATTACTGTTACTGGACGACGACGACAATGATCGAGATCATCAGACAACATTGTATGAAAAGTTTTATCATGCAACAGTTTATAAAATTTATTTCAAAGAAAAGTACAATAAAAGAGAAATATAGACAACATCTGTATGCTTAAAAAAACATGATAGATCAGATGAAATTAAATACAATTCATGTTACACTTTAGATCTGGGAAAAAAGCAATCGATCACTCGTGTTTTACACGTCGACTTTTACATATATCATTTTTAGAAGAAACTTATTAATTTTGACATCTATACCTTTCAAATACACCAGTTGTGAAAAAGGTTGACTGAGGTATATTTTTAGGTGATAGCACTTTCGTCACGTTAATTTTCGTCACATAAAAAATAGAACTTTCGGCATACGTGACGAAAATGTATGGCATGTTTGGGGGAGTACCAGTCTATACTTTGGTCACACGAGTAATGAACTTTGGTAACCAACTGTGTAACATACCTACAGCTATTGTCACAGCCCATCGCGAACTTTCATCACAACTCAAAGAGAACTTTCGTTACTAATAACATGGAACTGCTTACATGTAGACTACTACAATTTGGACTATTGCAGTGTGGACTACTTCAGACCGAACTACTCCCAAACGCAATAGACGCTTGATTTTGATATTTTAATTTTAGAAAAAGACTTCAGAATCAGTATTCAGAATTGTGCTACGATTTTACGCGTTTTGCTAAGAAAATGCAATGTTTGTAAAGAAAAAAGAAAGAAGCTATTACTCTGCTTTGCACTGCTACACTTTGGACTAATGAACTTTGCACTACAACCTTGATTTCATCACAGCAGTTTCATGCAACGTGTGAGGAAAATGCCGACCTGTCTAAAAAGCCAGGCACTCTCGTCACAACGGGTTGACTTTCGTAACACTATTCAAAAATGGTTAAACTTTCGTCATATGCCGCAAGAACTTTTGTCACTGAAAACACAACTTTCGCCATGTGACGAAAGTTCAGCGTTACCCGACAACGAAAATGCTATGAAACATATTTTGGCAAAAGGTCATAGTGAACATTTCTTTAATTTTTGGCTAACAAGCGCCATTGAAGGATCTAAAACTAGATCCATCGGAGAAGCTATGACTATAATTGCATGATTAAAACTTACAGATAATTTTACCATATGTTCTTAGTGGTTTCATTGTTTACATAAAAACTATCATTGAGAAAATACACACAAGGATGCGCAGAAGAGTAAAATCGCAAATGTATAATCTTTATTATAAATAAAAAACAACACGAACTTCTTTTCATATATAACAGTTTAAATACGAAAATCATTATCTTTACTAACTAATCGTATTATTATTTCGTGTTTATATATCCTTCTTTGTCTCTCTTCTTCATTACAAGAATCCCCATTAACTAGAACTATTAATCTTTTCTATTTGCCTAAATGCAATAAAAAATCTTTTCATGATTTCTTCATTTTTTTTACCATTATCGTATGTTGGATCAATGAACATCGGTATTTAAACTTTTTCTCAATATTAGTTTTTTGTTCTTTTTAGACAAAACTCAAATTAAAAACAGTGAATTATATTCTTTTTCCCTAACGGAACCGACTCACTGTTTATTATATGCATGAATAAATTTGATAATTTAAAATAACAAAATAAACATACAAGACATAGTAAGAAATCAAAAATTTCCATTTAGTTAGACCTTCAAAATGTGCTTTATTTTAATGATACAACATCATCTCTACTCATCTTCCTATTAATAGTAATAATGATTATCACTGTGCAAACAATCTGCTGAATACATGTACAAACTATGGACATTTAATAGATTGTTAGTTGGATAACGACAGTCTTTTAACCTAAAACACATTTCTCTTTCTTTTTTACGAGTAAACTTTCTACTCTTTTTATTTACGCGTTTCTACTGATTTTAATGTATGACTTTGCTAATTCTTGTAAGACTAATCCATTAGATAATAAGCCAATGAATGTCAATAGATATCCACAAAGTCTTCCTACAAGTGTCAATGGCATAGAAATATCACCATATCCAACTGTATAACAAAGACTTGTTCCCCACCAAAATGCTTCTGAATTTGTTTTCATTATTGGTTTTTCTTCTCTTCGTTCAAATGCATAGGCTATTTGACTCAATGTACCAGTAAGAAGGATACTAATAAATACTAGAGTAATTATTTCACGTAATTTGTAATAGAATGATAATATCATTAATCTTAAAAGATAAAAATAGGGTATTAAAATTGTTAAACGTATTGCTTTCAACAACATAAATATACTGTATATATGACGTTTACTTGACATCAATGTAATATTACGGTTTGATAGTATAAATATACTCAACAGTGTACCTAAAAAAGATATGCGTACTTTGTGTCAATACTATTTTCTTCATATCTAATCCATTGCGAGAGAGAAAAGTTGTGTACATACTGCAAATATGTATTAAAAATAATTTATTACTAAATAATTTTTCATGATCATTTGAAATAATAATATGGTAAATAATATAAAATGATAATAAAATTGTTCCAATTAAATCTACAATATATGAAAATGATAATGAATGATCTGGATAAAACGAAATGTTTGGTAATGTTACAATATAATCTGTATTCAATGAGATAATAAATAGAATACCAACAATGAACATGATAATATCGAATAATTTTGTTAGTTTACTCTTGATATTTTCATCAAGTATGTAAAAATGTTTATAACCGGATATAGAGGTAATTATTTCATGACAGAGAATATAATCATGTAAATGAAAATAGTCAATTTCATTTAATATCAAATCTAACGGAATGTCATAGGGACAATATATTTTTTGTTGTAATGTATAATAGCTAAATATATATTGAAATAATAACGGATTTCGATCGAAATAATAATCATTTGATTCCGGACGATAGTAACAGGCAAGTGATAGTTTATCACCTAATAATGTGTTGGGATATTGGTCAATATATACAGTGGGTATACGATATTTTTTACCCAATAAATTAATTATTAACGTATTGTCGAATAAATTAACATCTTCCTGTACTAAATGTTGTTCAAAGTCAATTTGCTGCTTTACTGAGTTTGTCATTATTCTCCTATTTATTTTGCGCGTTTTTTTTGTTTTTGACAAATGAAATTTTAGTTAATCAATTTCCGATCATCATCACTTAGAGAACAAAGATGAGAATGAGGAAAAAAGTAGTACTAAAACTTCATTATACAGTTTGTTTGTTTTTTTCATTTACATGTCAATTATATTTTGTCAAATGTAAGATAAATCAGTGAAGTATACATCAGCATTTTAAAACTATTCTACTTCAGATATGATTTAAAATAAAAATTATTTTTTTTTTTATTATTCTTAGAAGAAAAAAAAATTTCTGAATTTAAACGCCAAAAATGAGAGTATTTTTGTTTTTTTTCTTCTCTAATATTGATATCACGCGCACACAAAAAAAAAATTGCATTATTATTGGTATAAACATGGTACAAGAAAAATTTTAGCAATTAAATAAATAAATAAATAAACAATAATAGTAATAATTAACAAAGTAGAAAAAAAACCGATGCCTTATTAGTCTTCACCGGTGCGCGCAATATGAATCTTTTGTCTAATAGAGAAAAAAATATAACACGGAGAAGATTTAAAAGAAGAACTTCTTTTCTAATAATGACAAATGAAGTAGATTTTTATTCTACTTCGTTATAAATAATGGATACCATCATATTGTTTATGTTTGATGAATCGATATTTTTTTTGTGCTGCCGTAAATAAATACTGTTCCTGTAAAAAATTTTCTGTCGATCCAAAATGATATAAAACTTCTTGTATTTCATCTTGATCTAATTCATTTAAAGTTAACCATAAAAGATTGTGTTTAATTATATCATTTGTCCATTTTTCTCCCAAAACAGATAAATGACGTCGAGAAGCAATGGGAGGAGCGGGTGAACACAATGAAGATAATGATGACATTGGAGTTTGATAATTTGATGGTGATGATACTGTATTATTTGAATTTGATGATAATGAAGAATTTGATGAATTATTTATGGGTGTTCGTGTTTTCGATGTGATAATCGTACGTTTTTGACCTGTGGGTGTTGATGTACGCGATGCAATAGTTGGAGGACGTGGTGGAACGTGTTTACGCATGGACTTCGCGTTCGATATTGGCTGATTAATCGTAACTGGTGGCAGCTGTGGTCGTTGTTGCTGATTAATTAATGAAGGTTGTTGTTCCATAGTAGTTGTTGATTTTAAGCGTTTTATCACCGGTTTATTTTCACTTTCGCACGATGATGATGACCGTTGACATTTTAAAACTTTAATTGATGGTAACACCTTAGCTGATGAAGAAGAGACGGATGAAGGTGGTGAAATTTGCATTCCTTCAGCTTCACTTACAGCTAAATAAATAAAAAAAGAAACAAAAATGTTATAGACGTGTTTCAAACTGATAGATTTTTCTTAATTTTCTCTCAGTATGTCTATGGGCGAACGCCAACTTGTCGATCGGATAAGTAATTATACGACTTTTCTCTTAGATGATCAATTTGTTCTAAAGTTGTAACTCTTTGCCTAAAGAACTGTTCTGTTCCTGCTTCAGAAGGCTATGCGTTCTGAACCTACTGTTTCATACGAGATAAATAGTCTAACCGTTTAGAAAACAGTTGAGAAAAGAATCATTATATGCAACAAAACGATCGATCACAGAAGCACCGTTTATTCTGGTGACTGTTAAATTAACCTACTCGTAGAATGCCTATTCATCTTTCCTTTGGCCACATTGAGTCGAACGCCCATTGCTACTTCTAATTGTTGTAGTCTTGATTTTAAATCAGGAAACGATTCTAAGTAAATAAATAAAAAGAATCATTACTTCATATCTAATGAAAATTAATGATTAATTTATATACCTGAGCGAGTGACACATGTCGTAGCAGGCATGATTAGCTTCAAACAAGACAGATTAGGAATAAAATTTAAAAAGTAGTTTGTTATGTTTCTTTTATTATCAACTTTTATTACATCTATGTAGACCACGCTTATGTGAACGAAAGAACGCAAGAAAAAAAGAAAAAAAAAATCATACGATTTACAATCATATGTACGTGATATATAGTAGTAGTATGGGGTATGTTAAAAAAGCTTTATGATACCTTATTGTTATCTTGAACGATTGGCACGAAGAAGAAATATCTTGCTTTTTTCTTAAAAAACACACACACACACAACTAGATGACCTTATTTTTATTTGTAATCTAACACTTTCATTATAGTCAGTTAGTTACTAAAAGTGTAAATGACAATGGAATTTTATTAAACATGTCAAAGTATAATGGTGTATTCCAATAGACGTTAATAGACGTTGTTTTTTAATAATAATTAGTTTGCTCATCTGGTGAAGATCATTCATTTTAGTTACTTTTCCGTTGTTGAGAAAAAGATTCAGATTGTTTCTGAAGAACAGCTTTAGCAATACAAAACAAACATATAATAAATCTTATGATCCGCTCTTGTCAAACAGAACAAAATACGAAACAGAAGCAGGGCATTTGAGACTTAAGCATCAATAACTGATATTCTCAAGAAAAGCATGTCAAAAAAGTGAGCAGAAAACGATATAATAGAAGTATCACTTAATCTGAGGGTCTAATTCTCGCTTCAACTTTTACTAAGCTTTTTCCACGCCTCATCTGGTAGGTCCAATTCATCATATATAGGACTACATATAACTCTAAATTGTTCTCAGATCTTATAGAAATTATTTACACTATCGTTATATTTTAGTGTAACTAACAGTATTCGAAATCGGTTCTGTAAAGTGCTGAACGTTGATGTTCTTACCCTTTTCACTCTGATTACACGAGACAAAAATTCAAAAGAGCGAGCGCATAGTACTATCAACAACGAGTCTTTCACAATGAAGCACAATGAACGCAGTTATTAAAAAATAAAGGTTTATGTTAATATGACATCGAAAAATTCAAACTTACTTTCTTCTTCCTCAGCTGGAATTGTTCCATTTACTGTATTTTGACGCATATCTATTTCACATGCACTGATCTTTTGATTGTGTAGATACAATCAAATTGTTATCTACTGTTTATAATAAATGAAATATATACGCATATTGTCGGGATAATTTTAAGATTTAACCTTGTTTGAGTTTTTTTTGTTCTCTATACTTTAAATTTTCTTTACCAATGAACATCATCATCCGAATCTGTAAAGCAAGGTTTTCTTTATTCCTTCTCTTTTTGTTTTATTTGACACTCACTCATATATACAGTATATAGTGATTAAGTAATACGAATAGTATATACCTCTATACAAACACAACTATACTAGTACAGACTCTATTATTTAGTTTGAATCACACATTCACGATAGAAAGGTGTTTTAACAAAGGACAATTACGTATGAAGAAAAAAATGAAAAATGTTCAATATATTCAGCGTTCGGGGTTAGATGATCAGAGAACGAAACGCGTCTCTCTCAAAACAAGGAGGAGAATACATAATCCACTATGATCCCTAATCGTACGATAAAAAAAGAAGATGGATGAAAAATATAGTCCTCGTCTTAATTAAATTTATGCAGACGAATCAGGGTGTATTTTGTGCTCAAGTATTGATGCTGAAATATGCTAAGAGGACAGTTAAAAAAACGCACAACTGTCGAATTGGTATTATCCTTTTCACATTACTTTGTAATAGAAACTGTGTCTTTTTTGAGCTAATAATATAAAGGAAAAATTTTTGTCTTCCTATTAAACTTTCTACAGCTTTCCAGTTTTATACTTAAAGTATCTCTGACATATTCAGATTATTAATAGAAGTTGTAACAAACCAAACTACATAGGGTTAAATATTTTGCCCTCTGTTCTGTTTTATGACTACACTCATGTTTCTTTATTAACACACGTTAAAACAACTTTTGATTCTTTTTGCTTTATTTTATGTATATACTCGACATAAATATGTGAAAGCAAAATAACCTTTCACAGTCAAAAATAATTTATTTTCTTTTTTTTTTTTCATCTATTATTTAACACATAACTATGGAACTATTATACACAGGTGCAAAATAAAATTGGACTTAGTTTTTGCGCGCATATAGTTTGATTAAGGACAAATATTACAATTTCAGAAACTTAATCGGATGTGATATGTTGTAGTGAATTACGTACTTTTCAATACCTTAATCTATGAAATAGACTATTGTAACGTAAGAGAGAAAATTATTATAAGAAATTTCTGTTTTAAACATAATAATGAACATAAACTTGTTCACAAATCTAATATATTATCATTTTTCGATGGTTTTTGTTGTGAACAGAGGTATTTTTCCACATGAATAATGGATTATTTTTAACTAGATCGTACATGAATTCTGAGAGAAAAGATATCGATTGCCTCCCTCATGCTCTAAGGTAGAATCAGAGTGCAGCTTCAGCTCTTAGAAAACGCTGAATATCCTAATTATACTTAGCTGTCATACGAAGAGTATAATTTTTGTCCAAACAATGACAACGACACAACGGTCTAATTCAAGAAAAAAAAAGACGTTTTTAATTCATTATATTCAAGAAAACCTCCTGTGATAATGATTCTAGGATGCAAGAAGTGAAAAGCTGTCGAAATAAAGACGATCCTATCCTTTCTCTACTAATCAGTATCCGCTGGGTATAACTTGAAAATTTTTAAAAAATTACCCTTCTCTGCTTTTGTTATAATCCATTCATTTTGTTCAGTTTCGACGGATAAATCAGGTATTTGACAAGTCTCAGTCTCTTCTTCCTTTGATAATTGTTGATTTTTTTCAATTTCTATGGCTGGTACTTTATGATAAATTGTTGTATGTTGAAATGAGGCTGATCGTGTAATAAGACATGGTATAGCACGACACATTGTCCATTCATGTTGTTGTTCAGCTATTATCATTTTGTTCGTGATTACTATTGTTGACGACGACTGAACAGAATGAAGAAACGTTTTATATAAATATACTTCGAGATGTAACGTTGAAATGTCAACGTTGTTATTTTTTATCAGTTGTTTACAAATATCTAAATCTTTTAATTTTTGTTTATTTTCACTTTGACAGCGAACAAGTTCATCTTCTAATATACTCATACGTAATTTTAATCTCAAGTTATTTTTATATAGAATATTCAATATTTGACGTTCAATTTTACATTTTTTGTTCAACATTTCTAAATTTAATAGATGAATATTTCGTGACTCATCAAAATATATAATTTTCTTGGTTGACTGTGATTGAACTTGCATTTCGTCGATTATAACTGATTTTATAGTAGATATACAACTTTTTTTATCAAATTTGATTTCAGGAATGGCTATTTGATTAACTAATGAATGCTTTTGGTTCAAAATTTCCGCCTGATATTTATATGATTTATTCTCATAGATAATAGCTCTTTTTAATTGTTCAATATTTTGCCGAACATTTTCGGTAGATTCAGTTATTTGAAATAAATTATTTTTAAAGAAATCAATATCTTTATATTGTTTTTCAACTTCAACTTTTAAGTTGTGTAGCTCTTGCTGACAAATATCAACATTATTTTTCAATCGATTACGAACATCTCGACATTGATTTATTCGAGATTCTAATCCAATAATTTTTAAAGTCAACGATGATTTTATTTCATTAGAACACATCCTGTGAAAAAAATTTCTGTTTTCAGAATGACGTATTTCGCTTAAAATCGATATTTGAAACAATTGTTTGACAAATAATACTTCTTTCATTTGTTCTTTTAACTTCTGACGAAATAATTTATTTGCAACGTTATTTCGATTGAATATATGACGTTGTAGGTGTAAAACAGTATTTATTTTCGAACTGAAATAATGATGAACAGATTTCACACCCCGTATATAATATTCAAGACGTTTATTCAATGCATGAACTAATCCAGACATTGTGTTACAATTTGTTGTGCGATATTTCATCTGAAAATACGCAAAAAAACAATTAGCTATATGCTGAAACAAACATAACAAGAATTATACAAATAGCTTGCGGTAGTCACTATGCGATATAGAATGTGCTTGTACTCGGTTATCAATGGTCTCCAAGTATTTCTTTTAGCGTAACTTACGCTCTAGTTACTATAATCTTACGCTGCGTAAGAACTGGAAACAATCGTTGTCTGAAAACTACGTACTGACATCATATATCTACCACAGAGACATACACGTATACGTCTCTTAGCTATAAGATAGAGAGCCAATGTGATAATTAATTAGTACAGAATTATTCACGTGATTAAATTATTGCTTAGAATTCTTTCTAGAGAATTGATATTATATGGGCGCTTTCCAACTAATACGATCTCTTGTCTTACGAGACACAACTATCATTCGTTAAAAGCTCTAAGTCCATTCTCGAACATCGAAAGTCTTGATCATGAAGCGAATCGAGAAAGAATCAATCTTAAACTTTTCTGTTAGTGATACAAATAAATAAGCTAAAATAGACAAGCACTTTTACTATAAAAGTTCAGAAACTTGTTAAACTGTCTTCAGTGCAACACATCATAACTTTAGACGTAAACATTATTTTGGTATACAGGGTTTCATGTTATTTGATAGTGACATGAAACCACGATTTTCCTCAGTTTAATATTGGATTATTCCGGATTATCAACAGGAATTCTACGTTCACTAAACATGAAGAGTTGCGTAATACCAAACGTTTTTACTTAATATCCTTTTTTTGTTTTAGATAATGGCTGAGAGATGGTGAACACCACGCTACTCTCATTATCAAGTGAGTTATTTTTTTATATATGTGACTATTTTCATTCTTATAAGATTTATTATTCATTTTAATTTTTTTCTTTTAGTTTTTTTTTATTAGTTTAGTTCGTTTAAAATCGCCATCATCGGCTCATATAACATCAAACAATTTTGATTTTTATATAAAACATGGAAAAAAGTTTTATTTATTTAATGATGCGTGTCAAATATTGGGTGCAGATGATAAAAAGTTGTTTGATTTTAATGATATATACAAAAAGAATTTCAAACAAAATACCATAAGGATATAGAAAAAAAATCACAAATATCTTTCTAACTATTCATTGCATTTGAACAATAAACCAGACCGAAACTAATGAGGGAAGTTCCCCAAATTTCTTAATTACTTTTTCAATGAAAAGGACCGAATTATATGTAACTGATCATGATAATTTCGAATATGATTGTCCGAGTGGCCCTTAGTGCGACTCATAATGTTTTTTCATTTTTCTAACTTGTATGCCCTCTATCTCGGTAAGCACGGAATAGATAAAAGTGAAATTTTTATCAAATGTGTAACCCGTCTGGACCTGCTACAAAGAAAATTTTGAGCTGATTTCATTCACTTGATCAAAAGTTATAGGCAAAATGAAGACCGTAATGGAATTTCATCTTTTTTGGTAGTTCCATATGGAGTGATTAATCCCCATTGCGAAGTTTCATTGGGAGAAATTTCACGAGATACGGTCGGCTTGACCGGACGAAATACCGATTTTTGACTTCTATTTGAAAAAGACCTCCGAGCTCTCAAAGGCATCCATTTTTGTAGATGGAATTCACTGAACTGAAGAAATTCTCTCATATGAATGAAGGTTGTTGACTTTCAGCATAATCAACCAATTCACCTAAATGATAAAAGAACGTGTCATGTTAAGTAAAGAAAAGGATGTTCTTTTGTACGAGTGCATTGATTTTTAACTACCTTTTAACTGATCCGACAAAGTTTTGATTGATCCAAATAATTTATTTAATATGAACATAATAACAATAAAAACTGGCTCCTGCATAGCCGATAATATACCTCTTGCATCAACAGAACGATGATCACCTTCGTCAATAAGATCTTCAAGTGCAACAATAATTGATTCATAATTGACTATAATAGCATTAATTGAACTCCATCGTGAGTTCCATCGAATATCTGACCATCCCTTGAGTTTAGGTAAGCAGTATCTGTTTTGATTGAATATTCTAACCACGGACGTCCATCATACCATTTTGCCGTAAACGATCTATTTTCATTATTTCTTGGATATGAAGCTAGTTTAGGTTGAGTAGGTGGATTTTGACATGAGCGACTAATATCGATAACATCAGCAGATACTTCACCAACTCGCTTTTCTTCAGGTTGCACGTTTTCCTCTTTTTCAACGCTAACATTTTGAGACGAATTCATTAGAGAAGTTTCAACAGGTTCATCATTAATAGTAACACGAGATGTATGTGAATCACATGATTGTAAAGTAATATTTTGATTATTACCATCATCAGATTGCGACACTATTAATTTACTCTTCTTTTGAGTAGATGAAGAAAAATAAGAATCGAGAGTCTTTCTGTTATTGTCCATGAATCAACACTCCGTGCTCTGTGCAGAAGTTTAAGATTATGATTTATTTACAATGTGTATGCAAAAATAATCCCCATTCACGAGTTGTAATTAAATTAAGCATTTATGATTAAGCAGTCTATGTATCTTTTTGAAGATATCGCCTTCTCTGATTTTACACTAATTGTTAAATATCTGTTTATTACAAGTATCAAAAGTTCAAAGAACAAGCGAATATTGACTATCACCTTTTATTTTATTAGAGAGAAGTAAATATGCAAGGTATATTCCCGATTCGTCGACAAATCGGGCACTTCAAGGAATATACATTAAAGAATTTCAAAGGCAGGAGGGGCGGTGTGAGAGTGAGTGTCGACGAAACCGGACTGAATCAATATACAATACTTCATTTTTCAAAAGATTTATATATCAATTACTAAAATTCGAAATAGAAATTTTCATAGAGGGGGCTGAGTCCCCTCTGGATACGCCACTACCTGAGGCTGAGAATGAGGTCTTTTCTTTATTAAAATCTCCCCTCACCATCTGCAAAAATAATCTCGGTTTTTTTCTCTGTTCTATTCAAATTACCTACAAAATCAAGCAGAAATAAAATGTACAAAAATACCAATGACAGAGTGCGAGTAGAAATGTAAACACAAAAGTTTGCCACTTTTTAAAAAATATTTTCTTCTTGCTGGTTCGTTTCATTACACTCTGCTACGATTCTTCTTTGATCTTTTTTCTACTGAGTCGTAATTTGAAACATGCCTACCTGTACAGAAGTTTCGATAGATCGGCAATCTTTACGTTTTCGATTAACCCGAAACGTGGAGCCGTATCAGTTACTATGGTTGGATGGAGATATGACTGAAACACCAAAAAAACTTGCTGTACAACGAAAGCTACGTGGAATTATCAATCAGCTGAAAACATTTGATAAGGTGAAAGACTGTGAAAAGCAGCTTCTAAGTCTATCGTCTGATGTTGATGAGAAAGTAATCTTAATCATAAACGATCAATTCAGTCGTGAATTACTTCCGGCAGTTCATGATATGAAACAACTGTGTGCTGTTTATATCTATTGTGCGACTGTTGAACATATCGACAAATGGAGATGTCAGTTTGCAAAAGTAAGCTGTCGCGATAATCGAATCTAAAGTATCAAAACTGGTCCTGTCTTGAATGGACTTCTTTACGTTTTTAGGCCAAAGGCGTCTTTTATACCTTAGAAGAAATGATCAATCAAATAGAGAAAGATCAGAATTTACGCGAAAGGGTGCATGATGAATCAATTGGAATAAACATTTATAACTTTCACTGCAATGACAAGCTCGAACAGCGAAACGCTATGTTTATGCACTTGCAGTTATTCATTGAAATTATTTTGAATATAAAACCCGCACCAGAGAAAGCGAAGAAAGAACTGCTTGATTTTCTACGTGCAATGTTCGGCGACAACGATGAACAAGTTCGTGTGATTGATGATTTTGAGCGAAATTACTCTATGGATACAGCAGTGTGGTGGTACACTAAATATACATTGTTCTATAGTCTCCTCAATCAAGCGCTTCGCAATCATGATTTCGATATTCTCACAGCTTTTCGTTTTTTCATCACGGATTTGTACAAACAACTCTCCGATGAACATAAAAAATATCTTGGTACACTGAGCAAACCTATCATTCAAGTATACCGAGGTCAAGCGATCAATGAAAAAGAATTACAATTAATTACTGACAATGTAGGAGAATATATTTCAATGAATAGTTTCCTGTCAACAACGACGAGACGAGAAACAGCAGAGTTTTTTGCAGAATCGAGTACAACTGGTACTGATTCCGTCAAACGTATTTTGTTTGAATTTAAGATTGATTCACAAATGTCAAACATCAAACCATTTGCCAATGTAAGACATCTGAGTTATTTCGCAGAGGAAGATGAAGTGCTTATCTCTTTGAGTACGATCTTTCGAATAAAAGATGTGAAATACAACAACGCGCAAAATCTTTGGATTGCTAAACTAGAATTGTGTTCTTCAGATGATTTCGCTTTGAAAGAAATATTAGAACACGAAAAAAAATTAATGCAACCAACACCGTCACTTCTTCATCTTGGAAAATTATTAGGCAACATGGGTAGTTACGAAAAACAAAAAGCTCTTATTCAACAAATACTTAACGAATCGGATAATGATTTAGAGAAAGAAAATTGTTATTTACTCCTGGGTCAAGGTGCTCGCTTTCTAAAAGACTATGACATGGCACTTGAAAATAGTTTCAAATGTCTTGAATTACAAGAAAAAGCTGGCGTAGATGATGTATACATTGGTCAAACGTATATTGCAATAGCCGAGATTTATTTTCTAAAGCTTGAATTAGATTTATCTTTGGAGTATGCGGAAAAATCTCTGTCGCTGATTCCAGAGGGTCATCTTCTACGTGCTCATACTTATCGATTAATGAGTAAAACTTACTCAAAAAAAGCTGAATACGAGTTATCATTAGATTATTCAAAAAAAACTTTGGAAATACAAAAGGAAACGCTGCCAGAAGATGATAAAGACGTCGGTTTAACCTATTATTGGATGGCAATTGCTTATGAAAACATCAACAATTACCCTATGGCGTTGCTGTGCTTGAATGAATCATTACGAATTAGTCAAAAGACTTTGCCACCTACACATCAGAACATTCGAATATTTCAGGAACATGTGAAGCGTATGCAAGACAAATTGACCTGTCCACCGTAGTGGGCGAAGTCGAATCACAAAACAAAACAAAATGCAGCAGTGTCAAAGATCCAGGAAATCGGGAAACATACATCTCAATAGAGATGTTATCTATACAAGCACTTTCACCCTACAACCTCCTGGATACGCCACTACACCAAACTTTCCGTGACATACCCTTAGGTCCAGAGGAAGGTCAAGAAGGAGTTGGTGAGGGTGAGAAACTCCTTGCTTTTCTCATGGCCAACTTTACGTAGCGTATTCAAGAGCCGGTGAAATCGAAGAAAATTTTTTGGTTAGTCATAAATATATGTCCAATATGTTCAGGTGATTAGCTATAGTATATACTTGGATATGACTTAATCTCTTCGTCGATTTTTATGCCGGCACATGATGTATGACATTCCTTCTGATGCGCGATATATCGTCATTGGAATTTTCACATCACACTATACAATGACGCTATCAAAATGTTTTAGTGTGTGCCATACATATATATATAGATGTGTTTTTCTATTGTTTTTCTGTATCAGACCATATTCACTATAGTATTTCTCATCTTCCGACGATTCTACTAATAAACTTACTCACGCATAAACAAGTAAGTGAGTAATATTCAATATACACTACAAAATTTACAGATTACTAAAGTATTTTCGATTGTGACTTCAAGTGCAAATTTCTAAGGTAACTTTGTTAAAAATACACCTTTCTTAAAGAATATTTCTAACCTATCCTATTTACATTAGGAATACTGCAAAATGCCACCAAACCAAAAATCCTGGTGGACAGAAGTACATCAGCTTCGAGGAGAATGGCAGCTTCCCGAGCAGCTGAGACTACAGAACAAGGGCAGGTTCGGCGCGAGGAAGATCGGACAAGGCATGCGACCTCCAGAGCAGCCGAGACTCCGGAGCCATAACTGATAGGAGACCATAACGATGTCTTTTTCTAATATGTCAAATACGTAATATCAAATTTTCCCGAGCAACGTCGGGTCCTTTAGCTAGTACGAAATAAAATTTACTTGTTGTTACATTACAGCGTTATTGCTAGTTCTTAACACACGATGAGTCGTTCGACCTAATTCTGCGCCCAATACATTGTTTAAAAATGAGAAAATCGATGCAACTCGGGATCAAAATGGTCCCACAATTGCCAGAACTGGAAATGATCAAAACACAGAAAATGCTCTAAATAATTTTTTTGGTCGTTAAAGTATTTTCAATCGATTTTTCAGTCAAGCTTAAGTATACACCAAAAAGCACCCCTCACGTTCAATATTAAAGAAATTTTGTTTTAAGTTACACAGACGTAAGAAAGAAATTGAGTATTTGGCGGCACTCTCTCACATTTTCGACAATCCACATAGAAAATAGAATATGCATTAATCTATTTTAAAAACTTTTCATGTTTCTAATCCTTCTAAATACTGAATCAGCTCTCATTCTCATAAGTGTAATGTAATAGTAAGAACAAACAGCTGATTGTTTGTGTAAAGAGTATCTAGAAATTCAGACGTTTTTTTACACCGGTTTATGTATGTAAAATTGATTTTGTTATAGTTTTTGAATAAATGAACTGGAAATGTAAAAATACTTAAAATCATTGTTTTTTCTCTCGCTAAAACGCTTCTAATCCAAGAGGAACCAAAAAAAAACTAATTCTTTAGTTGCTCTATTATAATCTTTACATTCATTTTTCACTTGTTTGTACACAGAACTCAGTAATTCGAAAATAATAATGAAAATTAAAGTTATTCATTATTTTTTCATATGAATCTTAATAAGTAAAATTCATATGAGTGGTAAATCGATGTGTACTAATAATAAATGGTGTACACATGTTAAACTGTCTCATTAACGAATCAAAAGTTCGTCATTTTGGTTTCATACATAATCATCTAGAAGACTTTTATAAACCAGCAGTGAGTATGATCTCTTCAGAAAATCATACGAATACTTAAAAATGTATCTGCGATGTCGATTTAGATTGGTTTGCCACAGCCCGCCTACATCATTGTTCGTCTACTATTGGCTATATATTTCGATAGTCTCATCGTTTACGGCATTCTTTGGCCACCATCTGAAATTGATCCTCATGTATCAAAGTATTTTTATCTTTATTTTACGTCATGGGGCTATATTATTTTGTGTATTCATTTAACATTGGCAGCCATTATTGTCAGCTACATGTCATGGGTTTACAAGGGAACTGAAGAAAGGTTTTCCGTATCTCTTTCTTCACCCGTTCTGTCTGCTCGTTTGCCGAGTATATCATCTGAATTATCCTTGACTTTACAGTTGCCCGAAACTACTATCAAACTGCGTGCAGGTTTTAATACAAAATCATACAATCTTAATGATTCGTCAATATCTACACCCTGGTATGTTAAACCATCATGGATGTTTTATACTATTCATGTTGTTAGCTCAATTATAATAACCATCGTCTATTTTATCGCCATATTTCGATTTCATCTTATTAATGAGAGTAGATTGTGGAATGGTAAAGTTGGTTTTCTTAATTTTCATTTACATGTGGGAAATTGTTGCGTAGGATTGATCGATGCTATTTTACTTGTTCGTTATCCTATACGTATTTTACACATGATATATTTACTTTTGGTGGCTGTCTTGTATGTAACAACAGTCATTTTATTCTGGCTATTGGCTAAAAGTGAAAACAAACCCTACTCATTCTTAGATTTTGAAGAGAAACCATCATTCGCAGTTTTTATAGTGTTTAGTGTAACCACAGCGTCGATTTTATTGCATGTACTACATTTTTTCTACTATAAAGTGAAAAAAAGATTTTGGATTGAAATATAAACAGCATGATAATATTTTTCGAACATTGGCCTTGTTCTTTTAATGTACATAGCAGAAATTGAAATTTGAACTATATATCTTTTGATGTTACTCTTTTTCGTCATAGAAGGATATGTAGTGGAGATTGTTTAGAAATTAAATTTCGAATTGAAATTATGGTGCTTTGAGTTTGCCGGTAAAGCTGTCTTGAGTTGTATCTAAAACAGCAAATGCTTGATACGTGGGTTAGAATTAAGTATTTCAGATGAAATTTTGTGTAGCAAATATCGAAATAGTTTAGTATTTATTGTGCGATATAGACGTGAAAAAAACAACGTCTAGTGAAACCATTGCCGGATTAAGTGAAAGCAAAAATAGAACGAACACAATAACGTCAAAAGTTTCAAAAAAACATATCAGCCAAGTGCGCTAATGCAAAAACTTCGTAAATAAAATACGGCATTCCGAAATATATGGAACAAATATCGATATCATTTACGTGCGCTTTGTTGATTGATTTGTTTCATACGTAAAAAGCTTATTAAGTATCTGATTATCAACGTAGACTATGATGGTAGATTATTATTAAGTTGAAAGTTTATTGTCTAACAATATTTATTAATGATATCGTGCATCGAAATTGCAACTTTTTATCCACTCTCTAATTTTTCTACTTCTTTCTTCCGTGATCATTCGATACACATTCAAATAAGTAGTACAATAAACGTATTTGGACATGGTATATCACATAATTTCCATTGAAACTCATTGGTAGTCTATCTGTTGAAAGAACAGTAATAAGGTCGAAATACACACGTTTAGAAATTATATATCTGGCCTGTCTATATGACAGCACCTTCACATCCCTCTTTGGACCTGAACCAAACTTTGCCAGAATGTTCTCCTATATGAAAGTTATCACCACAGTTAGCACAAATATTGATGAGCTTAAATATTGGTTTTCCCGGTATTTTCCATTTATCTCGGCCCAGAAATTTTTGTATTCAATAAAAATGACATATTCAGAATCAACGCAAGAAATTGCGTCGAATGATGTGCGATTAGTAGGTTTTTCTGAGCAAAAACTTGTTGAATCTGACGAAACGCTAAAGTCGAAGCATAATTTTGGCTAAGGATTTTGATATTTGCTATAGAAGGAATCCGAAAGCCTACAAACACTTTTTTCATAGGTTTTCAGATATACTCTTTCCAGTAGTATGCTTTATAAAGTTCCAAAATACTTATGTGTAGGTTTTCTAGAGAACCGGTCTCTGGAGAACCCAGATGAAAATCTCTTCGAACTTTGTAAAGCATACCATTCGAAAGAGCATATCTGAAAACCTGTAAAAAAAGTGTTGATAGACTTTTGGACTGGTTCTATAGCAAATGTCCGCCTAGTCTATAGAAAATGCACGCTGTACTCCCCCCTCCCATCAGCGATGTATCCCACCAGCGATGTATCCCACCAGCGATACATCGCAATAACGTGTTGAATATCCTGACATATGATGGTTGAAAACTAATCGAAATTATATAACTTCAGTGTTTTGTAACTCCGGTTCTCAAGGAGGTCTCTTGAGACCTGAACATCTACAGTCAGCTTGACAAATCTTTTTTGTTTTCATAAACGAAATTAGACTACAAAACCATATCATTTATGAAATTTTCAACAGTTCTAGTGGAAAACTAACGCTTTTGGAGACTATTATATTGTGAGCCTATTAAAGGGTTAATCTATTGAAAATGTAAAATTCAACAATCCGGGAGTAGAATGAGTTGTAAAGCTAGAACTCTTTATGAATATCACAGACATATAGAAGAGTTATAGAAAGAAATTTGAGCTCTTAACTACTTTTCCTGATAGAGTTACGGATTTTTTCGTGTTTCCCTAGGAAAAAATAGAAAATAGAAAAATCGCTCTAACTTTTGCAGGATGAGTCATCGGCTGAAATTCGTTTTAGGCTTTTTACTACCTCGATATACTCTATCGAACTAGTAAAACTGAGGAATAATTTGAAAATACGAATGTATGCACGCCCTGCACATTTCTCCGTATATCAAACCTCTCAAATATCTCTCTCACGTCTGTGATGTGATCCGCTTTTAATGTTAAAAATCAAGAAACCTTAATCAAATTTGATTAGAAGAACAGAAGAAATAAAAATGGTAGAAAATGTATCAAGCTAGAACTGGAGAACGACCATAGACATTGCATTAAGAATTCATATCTAGTATTTTTTTTTTCCATCGTACTGTAGACAGACACCCATACTGTGATGTACGAGATTTTTCCTTACCTACAAGCTTCTAGCTTTGTTTATTACAAATCGGTAATCACTGATTCTTCTACTTGTTGTTCCTCAAATTGTCTTTCAAAATAAATACGATGTTTATTCGAAATTGCTCATTTGAAGGTTAATCCTTTACCTTTCATTTATATCGATCTCTTATACCATATGACGTATCATGAATACTATATCTTGAGAGGAAAAAAATATATTTAAATCTATGTTGAATATTTATTTAGGGGTTGTACACCATATCAATTCATGTTGATCAAAGAAGATTGTTTGTTTCTTTCCACTCTATGTAAAAGCTCTTGACTTTCAATTGTTGTTTTTCCTTTTAAATAAGAAAACTCGAAAAGACACATGTACACCTGAATGGGAATTAAAAATAAGTGGGTTAAAATCGAACGAATTCTTTTTATATGAGAAGGTTAGAGGTAACATAAAAAGAGTAATAAAACGAACTATCATTACACAAACGTGCACGTATTTACCTTTTTTGCTTTTGTTAGTAACATCATGTTTGTTTACTGGAAAGTGTCATCATCATCAACAACTGATCTTCGGGATCAATGTAAAAATTTACAGATACCAAATTTATTAGATTCCTCAAATTATCATGTTAGTATTATGAGTAGTAACAATGTTGCAGATAATTATACATGTAAAAATAGTTTTGAACCAGTTATGGCCAAACCGTTGAGCTATTTATGTCGAAAAAATGCTACAACAAATACGAATGTATTACTGTTACGTTTAGAATGTCAGCCGTGTTTGGATCGACATCAAGAATTGAAAGAAAAATATCACTTAATACACCGTTTCAATGATTACGAACCGCATTTAACACTCTCATATGATGTCGGTATGAACTTTGATCCACAATCAGTTCCAGTACCAAACAGTCAACTTGAATTGAACGAAGAATGCGTAGAAGAACAAAATTCAGATAAAATTAAACAATTAACAAACGATAAATCTACAAAAAATTAATTTTTCTATTTTATATAGGCTATTATCTTTTATTTTTTAAACCATATTCTGAAGTTACTAATAATCGTAATATTCTATATGATTTATATATTAACCCTTTACACCTGAAGACACTTTTATTATAGCTGCCGCTGAAATAACTATTGCATTGAAACTTACAGTTCTTTGGTACATCCATGTTATATCTGGACTTAAGTGGTGTTGCTTTTCCACATGGATACATGATGTCCCTTGGAAGGGACATTTGGGTGTAACGACATGGATTTTGTATTTTTTTCATTATTATTCCGAACTTCCTTTTTTACCCTAGTGTGTTACTATGAGTTTCTTTTCAATTCTTTGGTTTAAACTATTTATTATGATAAAAAACAAAAGTAAGAAAAGGCATATCAGGGTATCAGAAAACTTAGAATCGCCGAAAGGCATTGTACTTAGTAGTCTGAATTAAATGTTTCGCAGACAATCATGCTTCAGAGAAAACTGGGATGATCTTAAACGTGTACAAAAGAGAAGAAAAAAACAAAAAAAAGAAAACCCAAGAAAGAAAGAAAAGAATAAGAAAGAAAGAGTGAAGAAAAATTTAAACTAAAAATGTGCATAGTGACAGTGGAGAGGGGATGCTAACAATTCTTTACTCACTGGAAAAATTTTTGATAGAAACAAACGCATTTTTCTTTAATTTTTCCAAAAACGTGCCCGAACGCGTTTTTCGAATCAAGATGGCCCCAAGGGCGCTTCTAAACGAGCTTCTAGTTATCTCAAGGAAGAAAAGTGTGTTCGGACGTATCTTGTTTTTTAAAAAACTGAAGATAGTTTAGACGCTTCCCAATTTTATTCAGTATTTAAAACGCACTTGGATGGAATTTTTATATCGATCAGAGAAAAACGCCTTCACATTTGTCGGCGACGGCACTGTATTGTTGGTTACATCTTTTTTCCTTCATTCGTCCATCTTCAGATATGTAGCGGGTGATCACAGAATGACCCACGTTAACAAGATGTTAAGATAAAAAAATTCACTTTTCATGTCGTTACACCCGAATATCCCTTCCAAGGGACAGAAACCAAAACTACCAACTACAAAATTAGAAAATGATTTAGTGGCTACAAGTATAGAAAATATCTAAAACCAAAAAATTCATTTTTGAACTTCATTCAATTTTAAAATTCAAAAATATCGGATTAAAATGGAAATGTTTTTTTCTTATTTCAATCAAAAGTTAGGCTACTCTATTGTCCTACATTAGTAATAATCTAGCTTATGGCCTGATGATCCGTTCTTTGTATAAATCTATTACATCAATGTCCCTTGGAAGGGACCGCCGAGTGTAAAGGGTTAAGAAAAACAAAATAACGTTTCAAATTTTAAGATAATTCAACGAAACTTGACAATGATTCACTCATGCTAAAGCAATTAAAAAGTATTATTAATAGACGGTCTTTGTACATAGAACAATTGCGCATCTCTTACATCAATCAATAATTAATCAATCAACTTTATTTAGCTGTAGAGCAAGGTTATTACAAAACAAAGTTAAGCCGCTTAACAGTGATAACACCTCTAGTATAGAGTACGAAAAAGAAACAAAGAAAAATACATGACAAAGACAGAATTTAATATATCAAAGAATGTATATTTGTTTATGTGTAAGAACAAATCTAACTACAGCATTGCCTAACTAATAGTACAAACTACAGCCTCGTATTCTATAATTTTAAGTGTCTTTTGAGTTTACTTTTAAAAGCTTTCTAAAAGATGCAACAACCAAGTGAGTAAATAAGTTTCAGTTTGAACAGGTGAGCGACAAAAACGGTGAATTTATTCTACTGTGTGTTGAGGACGACATTTGTCCTTAGTTTTCCTCTCTGTTATCCTGGTTATTAATGGCTCTATCAAGTTAAAGCGAGACAGAGTACCATAGCCTATCATTACTTTGTGAACGTGAATCAATCAAACGTATTTCCTTCGTGTTTTTAAGTTCGGTAAATTTAGTTTTTTAACAAGATCATCGCTATTTGAAAGATAGTCATTCAGAATTACTCCCTAGTTTCTGTACAGAAGAAAGTGGAGCTAAATAGTTTTTTAACTCACTGTCATATACAATGCAACAATAATCAATAACTGGCAGGATGCATGATTTATAAACATAATGACGCAAACTGGTCCAGCTACAAATGTTCTGTGTAACATTTGCCGGCTACGAGCGGTAATGTATGGCACATATTTTTTCCATTTGAGATTATGTGATAGACGAACGCCAAGCAGTTTTATTTCTATATCATATGAAAGTCACAAAATTCATCGTGTGCAAAAAGAGAAGTTATTGTTGTAGATGGCAAAGCGATTGGCAAGTCATTTATGTGTATATAAGAAATAATAGCGACCCAGAACACTGCTCTTGGGCACGCCTAAGGATATTCGCACAGACTTTGACCTTGTATTATTAACACACAGTTTGTCGCCTATCACACAATTACGAAGTAAACCAATCCACGAGTGATCCCCACACACCTGCTAACGACAGTTTTTGTAGTAAGAGCATGCGTGGGACTCTGCCAGAAGCTTTTTGCGAAGACGAAAGTAATTCGACCAAGCTTTCTTTTCTTACAAAGCACTTTTCCTAATTCAATGGTGATTATAGTGCAAAATGTCAACTATTAAAGACTTTGGTCTAAAACCAAATTGTGCCTTAGAAAAGAAATTCGTACTGTTCAGATGATCAAGCAGTCCCTTTGTGCACTATCTTTTCAAAGAAAAGAGTTTATTATAAACTCTTAATTATGTTAAACCAAGTTAAGGGTGGGTGTTTCAGCCGCAATTGCACTACATTTTTTATTAAAAGCTTTATATCCGATAAACGAGTCTGTGATCTATGAGCTGACAAGCTAATTGTGTTTTTCTTGATACGATGTGAAACAATTTTAAAAATAATCGGAGAACAGGCTAGCTTTCCCAGTGTCATCACTAAAAGTCATATTGACAAAGAGTTAACGTATTTGGATACATCAAGTTGATCTTAGATCTGTATATAATAAAGCCATAACGTTTCACTAAAACTTATTTGAAGAATTATCGAAGAAAACAAACAGCAAAAATTTGTCACCAGATGCAAAATAAATAAAATGATCACTATTAATATTATCTCTGCCTACAGAATGACGAATTGAATTGAATTAAAACAAAAAGGCTGAAAAGCTATCCACACTGTACAGGAAAAAATTGAAGAATGTGTAAATTAAAAAAGTGAATAAATGCTTTTACTGTCGTTTATGCATCTTTTTATGAATTACGTTGTGATATTTTTATTGTTACCTAGAAAAAGAAAATGTTCATTAGATAATATGCAGTCTTGAAGTATATCACATACATTTTTCACTTCAGTATAACTATCAATAGCATATTCACTTCTTTCTCGTCCTATACCACTTTGCTTAAATCCACCGAAAGGTGTCGTTGGATCTAAAAAAGATAATTCATTTCGTTATACTACGTCTTTAAAAGAAACAAAAATAAGATAATTACCAAAGTTATCATAGCAGTTAACCCACACTGAACCAGCTCGCAATCCATTCGAAACGACAATACCTTTATCAAGATCTCTTGTAAAAATACTTGCGGCTAAACCGTAGTCGCTATCATTTGCTCGTTCAATCACTTCGTCAATTGTTTTAAATTTTAATATTTGCATAACTGGCCCAAAGATCTATTTTTAGTAGATAATATCAAGAATGACTATTAGATATACGTCATGAACAACATACTTCTTCTCGTGCAATTTCCATATGATCATGAACATCTGCAAACACTGTCGGCTCAATATAAAAACCTCGATCACCAACACGTTTTCCACCAGTGAGTAATTTTGAGCCTGATTTTTTACCAGAGTCAATTAATCGAAGAATTTTATCCATTTGTTCTTGTCCTATCTGAAAGGGCAATTTTATCATTTTGTTTAAATCAAAAAGAATGTTTATCTCACAGAAAAAAACAAAAACTACATACTTGTGGTCCCTGTTCTGTGTTGTCATCAAACGGATCACCTACTGCACGTCTCTTGGCTCGTTCAACCGATTTTTGTACAAAGTCATCGTATATTTTTTCTTGTACATACGTTCGAGAACCAGCACCTGTAAAGAACAACAACGTTTGACATTGTTCTTTCACGGCATTACTATCATTACGTACAACAACATTGACCTTGATTAAAGAATAGTGCAAAATGCGACCATTCAACAGCGGACTCAACTAAAATAAATTAAGAATAATTTATTTTGTTTTAATATTTGTATCATATCTATTCACTTACGGTCAGCATCATCAAATACAATATTTGGCGATTTTCCACCTAAAATAAAAGCATAAATAAATTTTCACACGATGTTTCACATGCGTATAAGCACTAGCCTAGTTCAAGTGTAACACGTTTAACTTGTTTGGCAGCTTCTTGTCCGATGATTTTTCCTACCTGCAGCAGAAAAAGAGCATTTTACGAAAATTACTTTCAACTGGTGTTTGTTATAACACTTACTTGTGTCGAACCAGTAAACGACACTTTATCAACATCAGGATGCTTTACAATTGATCCACCACAATTAGGACCATCTCCAGCGAGAATATTAACCACACCGGGAGGAAATCCACTACAATAAGTTAAAATGTAAACGAAATGATAGTAACGATTCTCGATACCTACGCTTCCTGAATTAATTTTGCTGTATACAATCCGGTCAATGGTGTATGTTCATCGACTTTAATCACGACTGTGTTTCCGCAAGCTAAAGCTGGTGCAACTTTCCAAATGAACAAAACAAGAGGAAAATTCCACTGAAAAAGAAAACAAAAAAAAGTAGTGTTCTATCAGTACTTAGTGAAACGCTTACAGGAATAATTTGACCGACAACACCGACCGGTTCTCGACGTGTATAAGCAAAAAAATCACCGGCATTAGCCAACACTTTGCCATTAATTTTGTCAGGCCAACCAGCAAAATAACTAAAATGAAGTGATAGACATTGAAATAGAAAGATTCAATTATCTTAAAAATAGTTTTACCGTAGAACACCAATTAAATGTGGCAAATCAATATTATATGCATCTTTAAACTAAAAATAGATAAACAACTAGATGCTAACTGCGCACTGCGAAGATTAGAAGCCGACTGAGTGGTTAGTTTCTAACGATGACATAAACTACGTAGATAATTAATTTAAACTGGAAATATCTCAGTGAAAGAATCTAGTGTTTTCTCCTTTAGCAACAAAAATATGTGTGTTTCGAATTTTATTCACCTACATTTATCTCCTACAGCATATTATTCACATTATCGTACCGGCTGATTCATTATCTATCATACATTCTGCTATAACTTTCATCATATCAAGCACTATAGTATTCACTACTAAGAATATCATGTGACGATTTATTATCTAATAGGAGAAACAATAGTTTTCTGGAAAAAAAAAACTCATTTTGTGGCACTAATTATAGGATAGCTAAAGCAAATATCCAAAAACTAACTTCAGTTGGATCGTGTACGACTCCCCTACCTTTGAATCATCTTTTTCTCAAATCTGTACGATCAGAGCTAACCGAGAACGGTGGATGGAAAAATTGACCAAAAGTGTAGAGAAAGAAAGAACGCATGGCTCAAAGTGAAAAGAAATCGTTTCACTCGGTCGACTTAATAAATGTCACGCCACATGAATAAGCACAATTTATACATACTGGCTTTCCATTATCATACGATTCTAATGCTGCTAAATACGCACGATCTCGTTCAAGTAGATCAGCTAATTTATTCATCAATTCACCACGTTTACATGGATCCTAAATTCAAACATTCGTTTAAACTATAACCCGAAGAGAGATTAATATACACATTCTACCATTCGTCGCCATTCTGAGCCAAGTCGAAATGCATCTTTAGCTGCCTTAACAGCTTTATTAACATCTTTCTAAAAAATACACACGATAAGTGTTCATTATCAAATGGATCTTTACCCTATCACATACCACTGATGCATTGGCCACTTCAGCAATGACATCGCCTGTGCTTGGATTAATAACATTAAAACAGCTACCATCTGCTGCATCAACAAATTCATTATTAATAAACAACTTAAATAATAGAACTCCATATACTAAGTGAATGCTGATTAAGATTATTGGATCATTTTCAAAACTTTTATCAGAAAGAAACAATACATAAACTCATGCATTTTACATGCATGATGACATTTTGCTAGATATGAAGAAAAGCTGCAAATATTTTCACAAGTCACAGTATTTCAGAGTATTAGGCATGTACATAATCGATTCAAATGTTAAAACTGTGAATTAGAGTCCATTGATGACATAATACTACAGTTTCGGTAATAATTACCTTCTGATGATGAATTTTTGGTGTTCTATCTACTTTGGGCAATGCGGCTGCCGATGCCGCTCTTGCTACTGTGCGAAATCCACTAAACGATTGTTTTAGTATAAATTTGGATAACATCTTTCACAGTTAGTATGTTAGAAGTAGAGTGACAATAAACGACAGAAATAAAATGAAATAGGTAAAATAATACGAGGTCTTATCAATAGAAGAAGCGCACGTGTATTTTCACCAATATACGTGTATATACGTATCTTAAGAGAAAAAATTGTTTTTCTCTTTTTTTCTCGTCCTTCGTTCTTTATTACGTCTTTTACGTTACATGCTTTTTTTTTCTTTAAGGTTATTTTTTAACCTTTCCATGTGTTTTGTGTAAATATATGTTGTAGGCAAACCTAGAAACCAGGCAGATTGAGAATTCTAACTTTGACTAAATCAGGCAAAATTGGAATTTGAATCAGAAAAACAGAGATCACGGCTGACAAAGTCACGAAATTGATCATACAATATATACTAAAATCATGCTTCTAGTTTCTCTTGTTGAGTAATGAGTCATTTTGTTGAACAGGATACTTAACCACTTCATCAAGTAAAGGTGGCATGATTGTAGAGCTTTGCATTAGATGGACATGTCCACGGACATGGACAGTTTTTTTAAATTTGTCCATGGACAGGGACAAGCGAAAATTTTCGACATTTCTTTTATGAAAATTTTTTACATTGTTTTCAAAGCAAGGGTCTGATGGGATACCAGTGATAAGATGTTTGGCAAAGAAAGAAAGGAACAAACAAACAGAATAATATAGTCTATATCTTTTTTCTTCAGTTTTGCTTCTCTCGCTAGATGTTTTTACTAAACTGAATAAAGAAAAACCTTTTACCTCGGTTTTCTATATGCATATAGTCTCTTGTTAACTATTCTTGCTCCCTCGGAAAAAAAGCAAATGTCTTTTTTACTTCACAATTGCATTGAAAATGAATGAGAACGATTTAAGTGGATTAATTAGACAAAAGAGCAAAAGTATTCGATTTGAGAAACCTGAAGGGAATAAAGAAAAAGGAATGAAATTGTCATACGCAAAACTTGTCTAAAAAACGAGAAAAATCCACGAACAAAATGATGGACACGGACAAAAAAAAAGTGTCCATGCAGGCCTCTACATGCTTGTCGAAGTAGTGGGTTTTTTATTTTTTTATAAAAAGAAAAGCCATATTCATATCATCCACAACAAATTCACAAAAGGTTTACTTATTCACAACAACAGAAAGTAAATCATCATATTTACACTTAATTTTTGTTGAAGAATATCTTTTTTAATCAAAAACTATTACACTATGTACACTTTAAGACACATGACACACTATTCTTCCATATTCTTACAAGCTTCTCTTTTTGAAAGACATTTTGTTGAGCATGATACATTAGCTTTTTTACATAGGCAGTGTTTTGTAGCACATTTTGATTTACAATCACATGTGCTTCCGCTTACTACCCCATATACATACAGTTTACATGCTTCCATAAATGAAATATCTTTTAATTCATCAATATCAGGCTGTTTTAATGCTTGTGGACAAGCTGATTTTAAGTTTACAAGATTTTCAATTGAAAATGCATTCTGCAGTTTGCTATATTGACGAACTAATTTAAAAACAACGTCATCGTTTGTCTTATTTTTTTCAAGAATTAATCAGGGTAAAGGTTTTGCATCTATATTTGTAGGATCAACTCTATGAATTTGAACGCCTATACAATCATTTACAGTGAACTTTTTTTTACTGTCAAATTATTTAAATAATTGTGATACAATTTCATCTTTTTATTTGCGGTGTTTAAGTAATTATCGGTGGCAATTTTACGTATGAGATTACGACGTAATGAAATAGATGAACACGTAGAAAGATTAGTGTTTGTTGAAACTGGTAATGAGTTACTTGAAGAAGCTTGTGCTGTAGGAGAATCAGGATCAAAAGACGAAGTAATTGACTGAGAAGTTACAATATCTTATTTGACCAGGAACGAAAAATTGGAGAAATAATTTCACTTAAAATACTTATTGCTGATTGTGCCCTAGGTTCATATACAGTTGAAGATGAAGAAACAAAATTAGTATTAGAACACTTTAAAAGCGGATCAACATCTAGAAGATAATCGAGTACATTACTTATATTTCGATTTGAACTATGCTCATTATTAGAGTCAATGATATTTTTTACTGGTGAATCGAAAGAAATGAAATTGTTTATGAATGAGTTATATAACATATAACAATGTGAAAATAAAACCTGCTGTATAAGAATATGTTGATACCAGACCACCTATAGAATTAGAAGAAGCATCATCCGCTAACTTTTCACAATTGAAATTACGTCACTATCAACAAGATCAACTATATCATCTTTCTGCTCAACAACTGTACCATGCATATCAGCAATTGGTGTTGGTAAATCATTCCCGTCAACAGCGTTATTTTGATCAACAAGTTTCCAAAATTCAGAGATCGATGCGATGACTGACCAAACATCATTTCATATGGCGTTGTTTTTTTTGTAGTACTCGAAACTCTTGCATTAATTCTGTAGACCACAGGTGAAAGACCTTCTGACTAATGTAGTGAATTTGTTGTTGTCAGCTATTTTCCAAGAGTATCACAAAGTACACCATTTGCTCGTTCGATACAACCTTGACTCTGAGGATGGCGAGGGCGTCCTCGTATAAAACAAAGGTCCGGAAACAATTCTTTTAATTCAATTAAGACGCTAGCAACATACTCTTTTTCATTATCACTATAAAGCAATCGTAGTGAACCAAAAACAAAAAATAATTCTCTTAGTTTAACAGCAATCAACCGCCGTTTTGTTGTCCGACGGAAAAGCTCAACAAAATTTGCTAAAGTGCTCCATACAATTTAAAATCCAATTAAAAACATCGGGTGCAATATTATCTGGTCTAATATGCATGTGAACTAAATCAATCTGTAACCTTGGCATGACACCTAAGGATATTATTGATTTGAAGACTATGTGTTGTTTGATTGGGTGATCTAACTTGACAAGATGTAATGTTTTAAAAAAATTGCAATAGTTGGATGAGGGATACACGAATAACGGGAACTCACTTCAGACAGATTTATCGCGATCTTCATAAGAAACCGAGACATGACATTCATTTATTACAATGAAAAAAGATACATCAATACAGACAGGTTTTTTCGTTTTTACAAAACATGTGTGTGTCCGAGAGCTCAGAAATATGCTTTCACCTGAGATAAACACGATTTTCTGTTTATCAAAGAAAGTTGAAGCTTTTTCTTGAATGAATTGCACAAAACCCTGAAAAGTAGTTAAAAATACCAAAAATCAGTATTTCGGAGGGTTTTTGTGTTTGCCACTATACAAGCTACTTTCCGAGTCAGAGTCATTTCGTAGCGGCTTCGAGTCGAGTCAGCAGTGTTTCCGAGTCAAGTCGAGTCGAATCAAGATATTTTTGCCATTTTTTTCTATATATATGTAATAGTGCTGACGAAGAACAAGACAGCAATAATCATTAGTTGTCTCTTTAGCACTTTGTCTCCGTCTTGTTCTTCGTCAGCACTATTACATATATATATACCCTAATTAATTCCCTAGTCGAGACTCTCGGCAAAACTCCAACGGGAGTCCCAAGTTTATGAAAAACTCCAGCAGGAATCGTAAGGAGTCCTGATGACTCTCGCAGGAACTTTCTAAAGTGAAAAGTCCAACATGGAGTCATGAGGAGTCCCAAA